AGTCACTGGTGATGGTGCAACCACTGGTTAGATTTAGTCACTGGTGATGGGTGCAACCACTGGTTAGATTTAGTCACTGGTGATGGGTGCAACCACTGGTTAGATTTAGTCACTGGTGATGGGTGCAACCACTGGTTAGATTTAGTCACTGGTGATGGGTGCAACCACTGGTTAGATTTAGTCACTGGTGATGGGTGCAACCACTGGTTAGATTTAGTCACTGGTGATGGGTGCAACCACTGGTTAGATTTAGTCACTGGTGATGGGTGCAACCACTGGTTAGATTTAGTCAGTGGTGATGGGTGCAACCACTGGTTAGATTTAGTCACTGGTGATGGGTGCAACCACTGGTTGGATTCAAGTAGTAACCCTACCTCCTATGCAGCACACACAATAAGTGGAGCCCAGGTGCTAAGATAGCCACTGGGGATCTCGGGCGCTAAATCACATAAATGCCGTGGGGCGCCGCCACTCCAATATGTAAACAAATGTTTGGCCTATGACAGAAACCTTTGCGGGGCTATACTCAACAGCTTGCCAACTTTTCATGGCAATCAGATGAATGATGCAGTAATGCATAAAAGACAGAAACATTTTTTTCACAAGTACAACTCTAAGTGGCCAGCTCACGCGTCGGATAACCTTCTGATTTAGGGGCTGACAAGTGGATTTAACATTGGCGGAGATTTCGATAGGTGAACATTCGCTGGCCACATATTGTGAGGGAATGTGTGGACATTTGGTGGTCTTACATTGTGAGGGACATGCATTCGCTTGCCACACATTGTGAGGGAGTGTGTGAACATTCGGTGGTCTCACATTGTGAGGGAGTGTGAACATTCGGTGGTCTCACATTGTGAGGGAGTGTGAACATTCGGTGGTCTCACATTGTGAGGGAGTGTGAACATTTGGTGGTCTCACATTGTGAGGGAGTGTGAACATTCGGTGGTCTCACATTGTGAGGGAGTGTGAACATTCGGTGGTCTCACATTGTGAGGGAGTGTGAACATTTGGTGGTCTCACATTGTGTGGGAGTGTGAACATTCGGTGGTCTCACATTGTGAGGGAGTATGAACATTCGGTGGTCTCACATTGTGAGGGAGTATGAACATTCGGTGGTCTCACATTGTGAGGGAGTATGAACATTTGGTGGTCTCACATTGTGAGGGAGTGTGAACATTCGGTGGTCTCACATTGTGAGGGAGTGTGTGGACATTGTGGTCTCACATTGTGAGGGACAAGCATTCGGTGGTACACAGTCAACATCACCACATAACATTGTCACCTCAACACTATAAAAAATATCACAATACCGCAACATAACATCATCGCACTTAGTCATCACAACATATTCACAATACTTTTGTACTTCACACTAGAACGACATGAGAACTAAACAAGACAATGTTAACACCCTAACGACATGAGAACTAAACAAGACAATGTTAACACCCTAACGACATGAGAACTAAATAAGACAATGTTAACACCCTAACGACATGAGAACTAAATAAGACAATGTTAACACACTAACGACATGAGAACTAAACAACCCAACGTTAACACCCTAACGACATGAGAACTAAACAAGACAATGTTAACACCCTAACGACATGAGAACTAAACAAGACAATGTTAACACCCTAACGACATGAGAACTAAACAACCCAATGTTAACACCCTAACGACATGAGAACTAAACAACCCAATGTTAACACCCTAACGACATGAGAACTAAACAACCCAATGTTAACACCCTAACGACGTGAGAACTAAATAAGACAATGTTAACACCCTAACGACATCAGAACTAAACAACCCAACGTTAACACCCTAACGACATGAGAACTAAACAAGACAATGTTAACACCCTAACGACGTGAGAACTAAATAAGACAATGTTAACACCCTAACGACATGAGAACTAAACAACCCAACGTTAACACCCTAACGACATGAGAACTAAACAAGACAATGTTAACACCCTAACGACATGAGAACTAAACAAGACAATGTTAACACCCTAACGACATGAGAACTAAACAACCCAATGTTAACACCCTAACGACATGAGAACTAAACAAGACAATGATAACACCCTAACGACATGAGAACTAAATAAGACAATGTTAACACCCTAACGACGTGAGAACTAAATAAGACAATGTTAACACCCTAACGACATGAGAACTAAATAAGACAATGTTAACACCCTAACGACATGAGAACTAAATAAGACAATGTTAACACCCTAACGACATGAGAACTAAATAAGACAATGTTAACACCCTAACGACATGAGAACTAAATAAGACAATGTTAACACCCTAACGACATGAGAACTAAACAAGACAATGTTAACACCTTAACGACATGAGAACTAAACAAGACAATGTTAACACCCTAACGACATGAGAACTAAACAAGACAATGTTAACACCCTAACATCTCAAATGTATGACCGTAGGCCTATTGTGTCATGTTGACATATCATATGATACACTAGAAAGGATGACATTAGACTGTAAAGTTGAGTCCATGACACAATGACATTTGCTCTATGTAAGGCTTACAAGCAACTTATACAAAATAAATTATCGACTACCGATCATAGTTCACCTGCATAGGTCGTTAACAAAAAAACCCTGAACAATTGATCATCAATGTGTAGTTAATGTTCCGTGTCAGTGAACATTTGTGTTTTATGGCTCACCATGACGTCACGCATTGGTGTGTCGAACTTGTGTGTCGAAATCGGGGGTGGGGGGGGGGGGTGGGGGGGGGGGTGAGATCTTCTTGGCTTATCGCAAAGCAAAAAACTTATTGGTAAACCTATTGACGTAACGGTCAATATCGGCTTATTTTTTCTAACCTAAACCAACATATTACCTGCTGTATGTCTGTGTACACTAGAACAGTCTATCTAAGACTTATAGCAGACTGAACATGAAGCCTACTTTCTAATATTTATAACAGACTAAATATGAAGCCTACTTTTTCAGTAAAAACAGCTCACATCAACATTTAAAATCATAGTAAATACGTTTTTTAATTATTTACATTCAGTTCACATCAAGACTTGTAAAAATATATGAATTATTATTTTAGTTAATAAATGAACATAATCACACACATCAAATCTACTTCCCCTACACTAGTAGAGACAAAGGCATACGACGAGTTCCTACTTGAAGATGGTCCTGACACTCAGACAGGCGACATCAAACAGCAGCAATGACAACCTTACCTCCCCTACACAACCTTACCTCCCCTACACAACCTTACCTCCCCTATATAATCTTACCTCCCCCTACACAACCTTACCTCCCCTACACAACCTTACCTCCCCTACACAAACTTACCTCCCCTACACAACCTTACCTCCCCTACACAACCTTACCTCCCCTACACAACCTTACCTCCCCTACACAACCTTACCTCCCCTACACAACCCTACCTCACCTACACAATCTTACCTCCCCTACACAACCTTACCTCCCCTACACAACCTTACCTCCCTTACACAACCTTACCTCCCGTACAAAACCTTACCTCCCCTACACAACATTACCTTCCCTACACAACCTTACCTCCCCTACACAACCTTCTCCCCTACACACCCCATGACAACCCTACACCCCCACCCCATGACAACCCTACACCCCCACCCAATGACAACCCTACACCCCCACCCCATGACAACCCTACACCCCCACCCCATAACAACCCTACACCCCCACCCCATAACAACCCTACACCCACCCTATGACAACCCTACACCCCCACCCCATGACAACCCTACACCCCCACCCCATAACAACCCTACACCCCCACCCCATAACAACCCTACACCCCCACCCCATAACAAACCTACACCCCCACCCCATAACAACCCTACACCCCCACCCCATAACAACCCTACACCCCCACCCCATAACAACCCTACACCCCCACCCCATGACAACCCTACACCCACCCCATAACAACCCTACACCCCCACCCCATAACAACCCTACACCCCCACCCCATAACAACCCTACACCCCCACCCCATAACAACCCTACACCCACCCAATGACAACCCTACACCCCACCCCATAACAACCCTACACCCCCACCCCATAACAACCCTACACTCCCACCCATGACAACCCTACACCCCCACCCCATAACAATCCTACACTCCCACCCTATGACAACCCTACACCCCCACCCCATAACAACCCTACACCCCCACCCCATAACAACCCTACACCCCCACCTCATGACAACCCTACACCCCCACCCCATAACAACCCTACACCCCCACCCCATGACAACCCTACACCCCCACCCCATGACAACCCTACACCCCCACCCCATGACAACCCTACACCCCCACCCCATGACAACCCTACACCCCCATCCCATGACAACCCTACACCCCCACCCCATGACAACCCTACACCCCCACCCCATAACAACCCTACACCCCCACCCCATAACATCTCTACACGCCCACCCCATGACAACCCTACACCCCCACCCCATGACAACCCTACACCCCCACCCCATGACAACCCTACACCCCCACCCCATGACAACCCTACACCCCCATCCCATGACAACCCTACACCCCCACCCCATGACAACCCTACACCCCCACCCCATAACAACCCTACACCCCCACCCCATAACATCTCTACACGCCCACCCCATGACAACCCTACACCCCCACCCCATGACAACCCCCTCCCCCTAGTCTGGCTGTTCTACTGCTGCAAGCGGCAACTCAGGTGGTTACGTCATCGTGTGACGTCATGACTACATTTTGAAGGATTTCAACGCATATTTTCGTAAAAAATTGCTTTTTATTCCATTCTTACACAAGTTTTGTTTTTTCATGCCAGCCTCAAAGTGAATCTTGACAACTGAACACGTGTGTTGGTGTTGGCAGCCGTGTGTGCACGTGGTGTGTAGTGTGTTGATACTAGGACTGTGATACAACGACAAGTCCAGATAGATTAATGAACATATTTTTAATGACTAAATAATGAACTAAAGTCGATTATTGAACATATCTATACATCAGAGGGTTGGAATAACATCAACAGTGCCATTGGAAGAACAGAATCTAACAGAATATGATGCGTGTACACAATTTATTCCATAACTCTGCCCTCTCTTCACAGATACCTAAATCTCATTACGGTAATCACGTGATGAGGCCGGTGCTTGCAAGTTTGGATGTAAACAAAGATCGGGGTTTTCATGACTTGACGGGTTCGGGTTCGGGTTGGTTCATCTTCTGGATCTAAAGCACAAGAATGGCGGATGTGTCACAAAGTGAACTTGAGTAAAAAAAAAAAAAAAAAAAAAAAAACTAGTCAGGTAAGGCTTCAGTATGTAAATCATAAAGTGTCATTTATACAAAAACTTAAGACATATATTGTCTACTTCATAAAGTGTATAAAATCAAACAAAGTATGTATAATCAATAAGTCAACATAATTATACGGGAAGTATGGTAATTATGGTAGGCGACACTTTTTGTTGGCATATTTGAGTTGACGTTGGTCGAATCACAGGTGGAATTTTTTTGTAGACCTTTGTTGAATTTCTGTTGATATTTTATTTGCTGACCTTTGTTGAATCTCTGTTGATATGTTATTTGCTGACATTGCTGAATCTCTGTTGATATTTTATTTGTTGATCTTTGTTGAATTTCTGTTGATATTTTATTTGTTGACCGTGGTTGAATTTCTGTTGATTTAGTGCATGTTGTCAAATCTCAGTTGATTTTTATTTGTTGACATTAAATCTCGGTTGATATTTCGTGTGTTGAGATGACATCTCATATAATTTGTGACAGTTGTTGACAGTTTAGTTAATAGATGAAACGGTTGGATAGCAAACACAATTTTTGTCATATCGACTTAGTACACTGCTTGATTAGATTTCTTTGATTAAAGAAAGTTTAGCATAGATGGAAACCAGCTAGAACTTCAAGCACAAGACGTTAGCACAAGACGTTAGCACAAGACGTTAGCACAAGACGTTAGCACAAGACGTTAGCACAAGACGTTAGCACAAGACGTTAGCACAAGACGTTAGCACAAGACGTTAGCACAAGACGTTAAGACTTTAGCACAAGACTTTAGCACAAGACGTTAGCACAAGACGTTAGCACAAGACGTTAGCACAAGACGTTAAGACTTTAGCACAAGACGTTAGCACAAGACGTTAGCACAAGACGTTAGCACAAGACGTTAGCACAAGACGTTAGCACAAGACGTTAGCACAAGACGTTAGCACAAGACGTTAGCACAAGACGTTAGCACAAGACGTTAGCACAAGACGTTAAGACTTTAGCACAAGACGTTAGCACAAGACGTTAAGACGTTAGCACAAGACGTTAAGACTTTAGCACAAGACGTTAGCACAAGACGTTGGCAAAAGACGTTAGCACAAGACGTTAGCACAAGACGTTAAGACTTTAGCACAAGATGTTAGCACAAGACGTTAGCACAAGACTTTAGCACAAGACGTTAAGACGTTAGCACAAGACGTTAGCACAAGACGTTAGCACAAGACGTTAGCACAAGACGTTATCACAAGACGTTAGCACAAGACGTTAGCATAAGAAGCTTCTGAACTTCCCGAGCGGTCAAGTCATCCCATTCAGTCATCTGACTGTCAGTTCTGTTAAACAGTCATCTAATCGGCACGTCTCTATAACAGTCATCTGACCGTTGATATAAAAAAGTCATATCAAATAACAAGAGTAGAAAACCGCTGACATAATGTAGGAGGCGATGAGTTCAACAACAATAGGATACAAGACTCATCTACGTCACGGTGGTCAAAGCTAACGGCGTGGGAAAATACTGGCTGATGAACTAACTACCCGGGGAACTAAGCGGGGAACTAACGCAACTAATACCAGAAAAATTACCTGGAAATCAACCTGCTGAGCTACCTGCACAACTACCTTTAAAACTACCTGGTGAACTACCTGGTGGACTACCTGGTGAACTAACTGGTGAACTACCTGGTGAACTACCTATCTACCTGGTGAACTACCTGATGAACTACCTGGTGAACTACCTGGTGAACTACCTGGTGAACTACCTGGTGAACTACCTGGTGAACTACCTGGTGAACTACATGGTGAACTACCTGGTGAACTACCTGGTGAACTACCTGGTGAACTACCTATCTACCTGGTGAACTACCTGGTGAACTACCTGGTGAACTACCTGGTGAACTACATGGTGAACTACCTGGTGAACTACCTGGTGAACTACCTGGTGAACTACCTATCTACCTGGTGAACTACCTGGTGAACTACCTGGTGAACTACCTGATGAACTACCTATCTACCTGGTGAGCTACCTGGTGAACTACCTATCTACCTGGTGAACTACCTGGTGAACTACCAGGTGAACTACCTGGTGAACTGCGTGGTGAACTAACTGGTGAACTAACTTGTGAACTAACTTGTGAACTACCTGTCTAATTACCTCGTGAGCTACCTGATCAACTACCTGGTGAACTACATGGTGAACTACCTGTACAACTACCTTTACAACTACCTTTACAACTACCTTTACAACTACCTGGCGAGCTACCTGTCTAACTACCTGTCTAACTACCTAGCTACCTGTCTAACTATCTGTCTAACTACCTGTCTAACTACCTAGCTACCTGTCTAACTACCTGTCTAACTACTTGTCTAACTACCTTGTTAGGTCCCAGCTACTGCGCTGGCATGGGGTTCCCCGCTGCTGGTGCCTGTTTCTCCACCATACAACTACCTGTACAACTACCTGTACAACTACCTGTCTAACTACCTGCCTAACAACTTGTCTAACTACCTAACTACCTGCCTAACTACCTGTCTAACTACCTTGTTAGGTCCCAGCTACTGCGCTGGCATGGGGTTCCCCTCTGCTGGTGCCTGTTTCTCCACCATACAACTACCTGTACAACTACCTGTACAACTACCTGTCTAACTACCTTGTTAGGTCCCAGCTACTGCGCTGGCATGGGGTTCCCCGCTGCTGGTGCTTGTTTCTCCACCATACAACTACCTGTCTAACTACCTGTCTAACTACCTGTCTAACTACATAACTACCTGTCTAACTACCTTGTTAGGTCCCAGCTACTGCGCTGGCATGGGGTTCCCCGCTGCTGGTGCTTGTTTCTCCACCATACAACTACCTGTCTAACTACCTGTCTAACTACCTAGCTACCTGTCTAACTACCTGTCTAACTACCTTGTTAGGTCCCAGCTACTGCGCTGGCATGGGGTTCCCCGCTGCTGGTGCTTGTTTCTCCACCGTTGGCTTGTCTCCTCCCTTATCACGCGAGTGGTGACGATGGTGTGGGTGATGGTGATGGTGATGGTGATGATGGTGATGGCTGTGGTGATTGTTTTTTCCTTCATTCGCTAAATCACCTAGAAATAAACAATTCATTTTTACTGTATTAACATTTCAACTGTTTATTCTTTCACTGCCAGCCACCTTCGCTCCAACTGGCAACCAAGCCAAGAAAATCTGGCCAGGCGTCAATAGTTGCCAGAGCTTGAGACGTTGGTCACGTGACCGTCCAGCTGTCTCCTACATTACTCGCATCTAGCTCTGCTGCAGATACTGCACTGTCCGCTGTAGGCAACAGAACTGAACTCAGCACAGTTAAACACTGAGCTATAGGGAGTTAAATACTAGGCTAAACGCAGCTTCATACTAAGCTAAAGAGAGTTAAATACAAGACTAAACACAGCTAAACACTGAGCTAAGGAGAGTTAAATACTAGGTTAAACACAGCTAAACACTGAGCTAAAGAGACTTCAATACAAGGCACATCCCTTAACACTGAGTTAAAATTTCATCATAACGCATCAAGTGTCTGAGGTATGAACTGAGCTAAATAGAGCTCACCAGTGACCTGAGCTCTGAGCTAAACAGAGATCTGTGTGGTGGTGTGGTGTGGCTGGAATAGAAACAGCTAAAGTACCTAACTTGCCCTCCAGTGGGCTAGCTGGCTGGCTGGAATAGAAATAGCTAAAGTACCTAACTTGCCCTCCAGCTGGCTAGCTGGCTGGCTGGAATAGAAACAGCTAAAGTACCTAACTTTCCCTCCAGATAGCTGGCTGGCTAGAATAGAAACAGATAAAGTACCTAACTTGCCCTCCAGTGGGCTAGCTGGCTGGCTGGAATAGAAATAGCTAAAGTACCTAACTTGCCCTCCAGCTGGCTAGCTGGCTGGCTGGAATAGAAACAGCTAAAGTACCTAACTTGCCCTCCCTCTGGCTGGCTGGCTGGAATAGAAACAGCTAAAGTACCTAACTTGCCCTCCCTCTGGCTGGCTGGCTGGCTGGAATAGAAACAGCTAAAGTACCTAACTTGCCCTCCCTCTGGCTGGCTGGCTGGAATAAAAACAGCTCAAGTACCTAACGTGCCCTCCAGATAGCTGGCTGGCTGGAATAGAAACAGCTAAAGTACCTAACTTGGCCTCCAGCAGGCTGGCTAGCTGGCTGGCTGGCTGGAATAGAAACAGCTAAAGTACCTAACTTGCCCTCCAGCTGGCTAGCTGGCTGGCTGGCTGGAATAGAAACAGCTAAAGTACCTAACTTGCCCTCCAGCAGGCTGGCTAGCTGGAATAGAAAGAGCTAAAGTACCTAACTTGCCCTCTGGCTGGCTGGCTAGCTGGAATAGAAAGAGCTAAAGTACCTAACTTGCCCTCTGGCTGGCTGGCTGGAATAGAAACAGCTAAAGTACCTAACTTGCCCTCCAGATAGCTGGCTGGCTAGCTGGAATAGAAACAGCTAAAGTACCTAACTTGCCCTCCAGTTGGCTAGCTGGCTGGCTGGCTGGAATAGAAACAGCTAAAGTACCTAACTTGCCCTCCAGCAGGCTGGCTAGCTGGAATAGAAACAGCTAAAGTACCTAACTTGCCCTCCAGCAGGCTGGCAGGCTGGAATAGAAAGAGCTAAAGTACCTAACTTGCCCTCCAGCTGGCTAGCTGGCTGGCTGGCTGGAATAGAAACAGCTAAAGTACCTAACTTGCCCTCCCTCTGGCTGGCTGGCTGGAATAGAAACAGCTAAAGTACCTAACTTGCCCTCCCTCTGGCTGGCTGGCTGGCTGGAATAGAAACAGCTAAAGTACCTAACTTGCCCTCCCTCTGGCTGGCTGGCTGGAATAGAAAGAGCTAAAGTACCTAACTTGCCCTCTGGCTGGCTGGCTGGCTGGAATAGAAACAGCTAAAGTACCTAACTTGGCCTCCAGTGGGCTAGCTGGCTGGCTGGAATAGAAACAGCTAAAGTACCTAACTTGCCCTCCAGCTGGCTAGCTGGCTGGCTGGCTGGAATAGAAACAGCTAAAGTACCTAACTTGCCCTCCAGCAGGCTGGCTAGCTGGAATAGAAAGAGCTAAAGTACCTAACTTGCCCTCTGGCTGGCTGGCTAGCTGGAATAGAAAGAGCTAAAGTACCTAACTTGCCCTCTGGCTGGCTGGCAGGCTGGAATAGAAAGAGCTAAAGTACCTAACTTGCCCTCCAGATAGCTGGCTGGCTAGCTGGAATAGAAAGAGCTAAAGTACCTAACTTGCCCTCCAGCTGGCTGGAATAGAAACAGCTAAAGTACCTAACTTGCCCTCCAGCAGGCTGGCTGGCTGGCTGGAATAGAAACAGCTAAAGTACCTAACTTGCCCTCCAGCTGGCTAGCTGGCTGGCTGGCTGGAATAGAAACAGCTAAAGTACCTAACTTGCCCTCCAGCTGGCTGGAATAGAAACAGCTAAAGTACCTAACTTGCCCTCTAGCAGGCTGGCTGACTGGAATAGAAACAGCTAAAGTACCTAACTTGCCCTCCAGCTGGCTGGAATAGAAACAGCTAAAGTACCTAACTTGCCCTCCAGCAGGCTGGCTGGCTGGCTGGAATAGAAACAGATAAAGTACCTAACTTGCCCTCCAGCTGGCTGGAATAGAAACAGCTAAAGTACCTAACTTGCCCTCCAGCAGGCTGGCTGGCTGGCTGGAATAGAAACAGATAAAGTACCTAACTTGCCCTCCAGCTGGCTGGAATAGAAACAGCTAAAGTACCTAACTTGCCCTCCAGCTGGCTGGAATAGAAACAGCTAAAGTACCTAACTTGCCCTCCAGCAGGCTGGCTGGCTGGCTGGAATAGAAACAGCTAAAGTACCTAACTTGCCCTCCAGCTGGCTGGAATAGAAACAACTAAAGTACCTAACTTGCCCTCCAGCTGGCTGGAATAGAAACAGCTAAAGTACCTAACTTGCCCTCCAGCTGGCTGGAATAGAAACAGCTAAAGTACTTAACTTGCCCTCCAGCAGGCTGGCTGGCTAGCTGGAACAGAAACAGCTAAAGTACCTAACTTGCCCTCCAGCAGGCTGGCTGGCTAGCTGGAACAGAAACAGCTAAAGTACCTAACTTGCCCTCCAGCTGGCTGGAATAGAAACAGCTAAAGTACCTAACTTGCCCTCCAGCTGGCTGGAATAGAAACAGCTAAAGTACCTAACTTGCCCTCCAGCAGGCTGGCTGGCTGGCTGGAACAGAAACAGCTAAAGTACCTAACTTGCCCTCCAGCTGGCTGGAATAGAAACAGCTAAAGTACCTAACTTGCCCTCCAGCAGGCTGGCTGGCTGGAATAGAAACAGCTAAAGTACCTAACTTGCCCTCCAGCAGGCTGGCTGATTCCATCCACCTGTTCCTCAGCACCCTGTGGATGTCGGGCCTCAACTGGAAGTCGTGTGTGAACAGCTTCAGCACCAGACTTCGTTCCTCGCTCGTCACCTGCACGGGAACATACATGGAACTGTCGTATTATGTGATATCATACGGGAACATACATGGAACTGTCACACACTGTGATAGCAACACAGTGAACATTCATGAAACTGTCGTATTATGTGATAGCATCATACGGGAATATACATGGAACTGTCACACACTGTGATAGCAACACACGGAACATTCATTGAACTGTCACATTATGTAGGAGCAACTTCAATACAGTTATAAAACAATGACCCAACATTGTAACAATACAACACACAATGGTGACCTAATATAACGGAAACCTTTGAATTACAGAATGGTGACCTAAAATAATGGAAACATTTGAGTTACATAATGTTGACCATAAAAGAGTAAGCTATAAATTACAGAATAGTGACAGAACACAGGAGTACAGATGTTTGTGGTATGTACAAAGTACCAAACGCTACCTGCTTCAAAGGGTATGGTGTGTATAAAGTTATGAGGTCAGTTCAATGGCAATTTGAGTTAGTCAAGCTAGTTGATATTGTAAACATGCCTCTGGCTAGTTCATATTGTAAACATGCATCTAGCTAGTTCATATTGTAAACATGCCTCTAGCTAGTTCATATTGTAAACACGTCTCTAGCTAGTTCATATCGTAAACATGTATCAACGTAAACATGTATCTAGCTAGTTGATATTGTAAACATGTCTAGCTAGTTCATATTGTAATTAAACATGCCATTAGCTAGCACAACTGGTTATTTTTAGCTGTGAAGCTCACGTGAATGGGTCGTTATGTAATTTAAGGAATCACTACGTTTGTATAGTATCGGATACAATCTCATAATGGCGCTGTTATAGTTATAGACATCTTACCCTGCTGTAATGTTAGGGTTAGGGTTATAGTTAGGGCATGTGACCAGAGGCGTAGCGACTCTTCCCGGCGCCCGGGGACATACTCTCAATTTGGCGCCCCCTTGGGAGCAAATTTTCGATTTGCACCCCCCCCCTCGAACTTTTCATTTGCAACCCCCCCCCCTCAAACTTTCGATTTGCACCCCCCCCTCGAACTTTTCATTTGCACCCCCCCCCCCTCAAACTTTCAATTTGGCGCCCCCCCTAAGGTCGGCGCCCGGGGACATATGTCCCCCCCCGCCCCCCCCTCGCTACGCTACTGCATGTGACCCTGAGGTAATGTTAGGGTAAGGCTTATAGTTAGGGCATGTGGTAATGTTAGATTAAGGCTTATAGTTAGGGCATATGGCCCTGGGATAATGTTAGGGTAAGGTTTATAGTTAGGGCATGTGGCCTTGAGGTAATGTTAGGGTAAGGCTTATAGTTAGGGCATGTGGTAATGTTAGGGTAAGGCTTATAGTTAGGGCATGTGACCCTGGGGTAATGTTAGGGTAGAAGCCCTGTAGGCGAACATAGGCTGTGGCTATTTTTAGAAATAGTTCAACCCGGAAGTGATGACTTAAAAATGTGTGAAAACTACATCAAGTAAAACATCGACAGAAATATTGCTAGGGGAGATATGATACATGAATAAGGACTGTAGTGGTTTTTCTAAAAACTCCATCTGTAAGCCTACCCCCCCCCCACCACTACCCCCCCTAGCCCTGACCCTAGCCCTGACCCCAGCCCAGACGGTGCTATTACAAGTACCTTGGTAACTCAGGCAAAGGTCCCAACATAAAAACTTAGAACTAGCAGACGACAGCTCTTACCTTCTTATACTTCTGCCACGGAAATTCCAGCTTCTTCTGCTCCTCTAGCACCCCACTGTTCCCTCGACTCTCATCAAATGGCATCTTGCCGGTGACGAAGATGTAGAGGATGACACCGATGGCCCACATATCCGCTTTCTTTGGGTCGTACGGCTCCCCCTTCAGTATCTCCGGCGCGGCGTACGACTTGGAGCCGCAGTAGGTCTGGCTCATACTTAGCGTGCAGTCCCCTTTGACGAAGCCGAAGTCGCAGAGTTTGATATTAAAGGACTTGTCCAAGAGAAGGTTCTCCAGCTTGAGGTCCCTGTGGGTGATGTTCAGGTCGTGCAGGTATCTGACGGCGTCACAAAGCTGCCACGTCCAGCCTTTGGCCAGGTTCTCCACCAGAGCCCCCACCTTCTGGATGTACCGTAAAACGTCACCATTTTCCGCGTACTCAAGAATCATATAGACACGTCGCCCATCATCGAAAGCGTCCAGTACTTTGATAATATTGGGATGCCGGAGGCCCGGCCAAATATCTAATTCCCGGGGAAGAAATTTTGTCTGAAAGTCTTTGGGGGCTTTGTTTCTATCCACAATTTTAACTGCCACTAGAGATTTCGATTTATTTAGCGATATGGCTAACTTTACCTTTGAGTAGCTCCCGTTACCCAGGGTTTTTCTCACAAGGTATCCATTTTTAGCGAGGACAGCTCGGTACGTGGGCCTGTAGGTCACCGACTCTGTCCTGGAGGTGCTTGAACGCTTGACTTCAATGGGCTCCACTTCTGCTTGAATGACCTGCAGCTCATCTTCAAGCAGACGCAGCCGCCCCCCGTCGTCTTCCATGTCAAGCTTTGCTCTTTTGGCTGGAAACATAAATTTTGAGTTTCCCCAGCAACATTTACACAGAAAATGATTAAATAATTTAGAATACCGTCAGCTGTCTGGCGCCTACACGGATGATTAGAACCGGTGTGTGTCCAGTGGACATCTAGGACTGTGCATCCTTTAGTTTTAGTGCCACCATGTAAATCTCAGCAATCGGTTCAATGGCAAAACGTGCGCTCCTGTGTACATTGGATGACGTCATGTTTTCTCCATGACGCACATCCGCCAATTTTGAGTTGCTATATTTATTTTGAAAGCGTCAAACCGCACCGAAGAAAAATGAATAGAAAACGCTTGCGACATTTTACAAATTAAAACTTTCTTACAAGGTGTATGTATAAATATCTTTAATTATTTAATTCCCTACGTTAGTTTAATTAATTAGCTAAGCAGCCAGCTCGTGCAGGTCTGACATGACTGGCTCAGTCGTCAAAGAATTCGCCACTTCCGACGATGAGGTGTATCTAAAAAAGTTGGGCTACAGTATAGGGACGACCATTGGCGAAGGATCGTATGCTAAAGTCAAAAGTGCTTACAGCGAGAAGCTTCAGAAAAGGGTAGCTATGAAAATTATAAACAGACGCAGCGCGCCAAAAGATTTCAAAGAGAAGTTCCTGCCCCGGGAGCTGAAATGCATGAAGGCTGTCAATCACATAAACGTCATCAAACTGTATGAGATCATCGAGTTTGAACAGAAGGTGAGTCAAAGGTGTCTTGAACTCAGGTGTGCCACACAGTGGGTTCAGTGGTAGTTAGGATTTTAGAATCTCGCTATGCAGGGAGCTAATAAGGGGACGCAACTTAGTTAAACATATTTCCTTAAAGAATTTCACGGTTCTCTACCTTTGCCCGTGTTATTTAAACTAGCTATTAAACTTGTTCTGTTTACACTAGTTTACAGTCTACAGTAAGGGTAGGTGTGTTGAAAAGGTAATCAATATAAGTATGTCCAATAGACCTAGAATAAATCATTGTAATAGAAGAGTGCTTATTACAATAATAATTATAATATATTTATAATGTGTTGTTATTTAATAAGATATATAAGTACTCGCGAGATGGTATTTGGCGAACATAAGGCCTACACTCAATCTTCGCCAGACTAGACATAAGGCCTACAATGTTCGCCAGTCTGGACATAAGGCCTACAATGTTCGCCAGACTGGATATAAGGCCTACACTTAATGTTCGCCAGAATAGACATAAGGCCTACACTCAATGTTCGCCAGACTAGACATAAGGCCTACAATGTTCGCCAGACTAAACATTAGGCCTACACTCAATGTTCGCAAGACTAGACATAAGGCCTACACTCAATGTTCGCCAGACTAGACATAAGGCCTACAATGTTCGCCAGACTAAACATTAGGCCTACACTCAATGTTCGCCAGACAGGACATAAGGCCTACAATGTTCGCCAGACTAAGCATAAGGCCTACACTCAATGTTCGCCAGACTAGACATAAGGCCTACACTCAATGTTCGCCAGACTAGACATAAGGCCTACACTCAATGTTCGCCAGACTAAGCATAAGGCCTACACTCAATGTTCGCCAGACTAGACATAAGGCCTACACTCAATGTTCGCCAGACTAGACATAAGGCCTACAATGTTTGCCAGACTAGACATAAGGCCTACACTCAATGTTCGCCAGACTAAGCATAAGGCCTACACTCAATGTTCGCCAGACTAGACATAAGGCCTACACTCAATGTTCGCCAGACTAGACATAAGGCCTACATTCAATGTTCGCCAGACTAGACATAAGGCCTACACTCAATGTTCGCCAGACTAAGCATAAGGCCTACACTCAATGTTCGCCAGACTAGACATAAGGCCTACACTCAATGTTCGCCAGACTAGACATAAGGCCTACAATGTTTGCCAGACTAGACATAAGGCCTACACTCAATAGTCGCCAGACTAGACATAAGGCCTACAATGTTCGCCAGACTAAACATAAGGCCTACACTCAATGTTCGCCAGACTAGACATAAGGCCTACACTCAATGTTCGCCAGACTGGATATAAGGCCTACACTTAATGTTCGCCAGACTAGACATAAGGCCTACACTCAATGTTCGCCAGACTAGACATAAGGCCTACACTCAATGTTCGCCAGTCTGGACATAAGGCCTACACTCAATGTTCGCCAGAATAGACATAAGGCCTACACTCAATGTTCGCCCTGGACATAAAGCCTACACTCAATGTTCGCCAGAATAGACATAAAGCCTACACTCAATGTTCGCCAGACTGGACATAAGGCCTACACTCAATGTTCGCCAGACTGGACATAAGGCCTACACTCAATGTTCGCCAGACTGGATATAAGGCCTACACTTAATGTTCGCCAGACTAGACATAAGGCCTACACTCAATGTTCGCCAGACTGGATATAAGGCCTACACTTAATGTTCGCCAGAATAGACATAAGGCCTACACTCAATGTTCGCCAGACTAGACATAAGGCCTACAATGTTCGCCAGTCTAGACATAAGGCCTACGCTCAATGTTCGCCAGACTGGATATAAGGCCTACACTTAATGTTCGCCAGACTAAACATAAGGCCTACACTCAATGTTCGCCAGACTAGACATAAGGCCTACACTCAATGTTCGCCAGACTAGACATAAGGCCTACATTCAATGTTCGCCAGTCTGGACATAAGGCCTACACTCAATGTTCGCCAGACTGGATATAAGGCCTACACTCAATGTTCGCCAGACTGGACATAAGGCCTACAATGTTCGCCAGAATAAACATAAGGCCTGCACCTAACCCTTTTTCTGATCATACACTCGGCTTAGTCCATAAAGGGACAGTATCACCCAGACTAGGTGAGAATGATACACAAAATAACCGATGAGACACATTTCTCTCACATTTTTACAGTGGTAAATCATGATCCTAGAGTTGAATGTCAGTATTATAGCCCTAACTATCACCTTCTATATGTGGAAAAATATATTTGAAAAATTGATAACGCATATTTTGTATTTTTCACAATTTTACAAGTTGACCAAATCATTTTAAATTTAGCACCAAGTTTTCTACTAAAATTAACCTTGTACCCAACTAATAACGATTTATCTGGTACGGTTTGAATTTTTTTTAAAAACAAAGAATTAGCTTTAAGAAATTAATAAAAACGAGCCGACCCGCTGCGTATCATACGCCGCTATTTAGTTGTTTTTTTTTCTACTTTTCAGTAATTTATAATTTGTGAATTCGACAGTACCAATGCTGCCATTGAAAATATTTGCTTAAAAACACTACCCCCCCCCCCCCCCCCACGTGAAAGCAGCCTTCTCTTAGTTACCTCCTCTAAGTTTAAAATCGTTTCAAACTAAATTATCTGCCCCTAATAGCCGTCACCAAACCCGTCCCTGTGATTGTAAAATGTAAACAGCGTGAACCACAGCTCACCAGATCATGTGGGGGTGGGGTGGGGGTGGTAGTGATAGAGAGGAAGAGAGGGGACTGCAAAGGCGCGCTTGCAGCTTGTTTTCTAACTGATCCCAGAAGAGAATTATATATATAGATGGTAGTGCCGATTGTCTAGACTTTCGTTAGAACAAAATTTCTAGGAGTAACTTCAGTAATTTCAAGTAACTTGACAAAGTTCTACTCAAATAACTTCACAAAGTTCTACTTATAGTTCCGGTAATCGAACTGTCAGCTCGCTTTATGATCATTTTCAGTAAAGTTGGTTTGTATTGTATTTTATATGCCTAATCTTGGGATATGTGGTGCACTAGTTTACCCATCTAGTCTAGAGATAACTGGTGCACTAGTCTACTCATCTAGAGATAACTTGTGCACTAGTCTACTCATCTACAGATAAGTGGTGAACTAGCCAACCCATCTAGAGATAAGTGGTGCACTAGTCTACTCATCTAGAGATAAGTGGTGCACTAGTCTACTTATCTAGAGATAACTGGTGCACTAGTCTACTCATCTAGAGATAACTGGTGCACTAGTCTACTCATCTACAGATAAGTGGTGAACTAGCCAACCCATCTAGAGATAAGTGGTGCACTAGTCTACCCATCTAGAGATAACTGGTGCACTAGTCTACTTATCTAGAGATAAGTGGTGCACTAGTCTACTCATCTAGAGATAACTGGTGCACTAGTCAACCAATGTAGAGATAAGTGATGCACTAGTCTACCCATCTAGAGATAACTGGTGCACTAGCCAACCCATCTAGAGATAAGTGATGCACTTGTCTACCCATCCATATACAGCACTTGTGTATATTTTCAACAACGATATCACCCATTCTTTAAATATCAAAGCTACCCACTTTATCAACATCAGTTTTGGTCACCCTTCCCCCCACCCCCCCCCCCCACCCCCACCGTCCCCCTGTCGGCCAGGTGTACATCGTGATGGAGCACGCAGGTCACGGTGACCTACTGGAATACATCAAACTTCGTGGTGCCATCCCCGAGGACAGGAGCCGTGTGATGTTCAGACAAATTGTTGACGCCGTCTCGTACCTGCACGGTATACAGATAGCCCACAGGTAGGTAGCAGGCGACAGGTAGGTGACAGGCAATAGGTAGGTGACAGCCCACAGGCAGGTGACAGGCAACAGGTAGGTGGCAGGCGACAGGTAGGTGACAGGCGACAGGTAGGTGACAGCCCGCAGGTAGGTGACAGTGACAGGCCACAGGCCACAGGCCACAGGTAAGTGACAGTGACAGGCCACAGGTAGGTGACAGTGACAGCCCACAGGTAGGTGACAGTGACAGGCAACAGGTAGGTGACAGTGACAGGCCACAGGTAAGTGACAGTGACAGGCCACAGGTAGATGACAGCCCGCAGGTAGGTGACAGTGACAGGCCACAGGTAGATGACAGCCCGCAGGTAGGTGACAGTGACAGGCCACAGGTAGGTGACAGTGACAGGCAGGTGACAGTGACAGCCCACAGGTAGGTGACAGTGACAGGCCACAGGTAGGTGACAGTGACAGCCCACAGGTAAGTGACAGTGACAGGCAACAGGTAGGTGACAGTGACAGGCCACAGGTAAGTGACAGTGACAGGCCACAGGTAGATGACAGCCCGCAGGTAGGTGACAGTGACAGGCCACAGGTAGATGACAGCCCGCAGGTAGGTGACAGTGACAGGCCACAGGTAGGTGACAGTGACAGGCAGGTGACAGTGACAGGCCACAGGTAGGTGACAGTGACAGCCCACAGGTAGGTGACAGTGACAGGCAACAGGTAGGTGACAGTGACAGGCCACAGGTAGGTGACAGTGACAGGCCACAGGTAGGTGACAGTGACAGGCAGGTGACAGTGACAGGCCACAGGTAGGTGACAGTGACAGCCCACAGGTAGGTGACAGTGACAGGCAACAGGTAGGTGACAGTGACAGGCCACAGGTAGGTGACAGTGACAGGCCACAGGTAGGTGACAGTGACAGGCAGGTGACAGTGACAGGCCACAGGTAGGTGACAGTGACAGCCCACAGGTAGGTGACAGTGACAGGCAGGTGACAGTGACAGGCCACAGGTAGGTGACCGAATATACATGCAGGTTATTTATTAAAGGTATTGTATATCAATTAATATGATAAAGCTGCACTTAGACAGTGCATGTTGATGGTGTATGTTGATGGTGTATGTTGATGGTGTATGTTGATGGTGTATGTTGCTGGTGTATGTTGCTGGTGTATGTTGATGGTGTATGTTGCTGGTGTATGTTGATGGTGTATGTTGCTGGTGTATGTTGCTGGTGTATGTTGATGGTGTATGTTGATGGTGTATGTTGATGGTGTATGCTGCTGGTGTATGTTGATGGTGTATGTTGCTGGTGTATGTTGATGGTGTATGTTGCTGGTGTATGTTGACACATGTTGCTGGTGTATCTTGATGGTGTATGTTGCTGGTGTATGTTGATGGTGTATGTTGCTGGTGTATGTTGATGGTGTATGCTGATGGTGTATCTTGATGGTGTTTCTTGATGGTGTATGTTGATGGTGTATGTTGGTGTTGTATGTTGATGGTGTATGTTGCTGGTGTATGTTGACACATGTTGCTGGTGTATGTTGCTGGTGTATGTTGATGGTGTATGCTGATGGTGTATCTTGATGGTGTATCTTGATGGTGTATGTTGATGGTGTATGTTGGTGGTGTATGTTGATGGTGTATGTTGCTGGTGTAAGTTGATGGTGTATGTTGATGGTGTATGTTGCTGGTGTATGTTGATGGTGTATGTTGATGCTGTATGTTGATGGTATATGTTGATGGTGTATGTTGATGTTGTATGTTGCTGGTGTATGTTGATGGTGTATGTTGATGGTGTATGTTGATGGTATATATTGATGGTGTATGTTGATGGTATATATTGATGGTGTATGTTGATGTTGTATGTTGAGACATGTTGGTGTTGTATGTTGAGACATGTTGGTGTTGTATGTTGAGACATGTTGGTGTTGTATGTTGAGACATGTTGATGGTGTATGTTGATGTTGTATGTTGGGACATGTTGGTGTTGTATGTTGAGACATGTTGGTGTTGTATGTTGAGACATGTTGGTGTTGTATGTTGAGACATGTTGGTGTTGTATGTTGAGACATGTTGGTGTTGTATGTTGAGACATGTTGGTGTTGTATGTTGAGACATGTTGATGGTGTATGTTGATGTTGTATGTTGAGACATGTTGGTGTTGTATGTTGAGACATGTTGGTGTTGTATGTTGAGACATGTTGGTGTTGTATGTTGAGACATGTTGGTGTTGTATGTTGAGACATGTTGGTGTTGTATGTTGAGACATGTTGGTGTTGTATGTTGAGACATGTTGATGGTGTATGTTGATGTTGTATGTTGGGACATGTTGGTGTTGTATGTTGAGACATGTTGATGGTGTATGTTGATGTTGTATGTTGAGACATGTTGGTGTTGTATGTTGAGACATGTTGATGGTGTATGTTGATGTTGTATGTTGGGACATGTTGGTGTTGTATGTTGAGACATGTTGATGGTGTATGTTGATGTTGTATGTTGGGACATGTTGGTGTTGTATGTTGAGACATGTTGGTGTTGTATGTTGAGACATGTTGATGGTGTATGTTGATGTTGTATGTTGAGACATGTTGGTGTTGTATGTTGAGACATGTTGGTGTTGTATGTTGAGACATGTTGGTGTTGTATGTTGAGACATGTTGATGGTGTATGTTGATGTTGTATGTTGAGACATGTTGGTGTTGTATGTTGAGACATGCTGGTGTTGTATGTTGAGATATGGTGATGTATGTTGTATGTTGAGACATGTTGGTGTTGTAGGTTGAGACATGTTGGTGTTGTATGTTAAGACATGCTGGTGTATGTTGAGACATGCTGATGTATGTTGTATGTTGAGACATGCTGGTATATGTTGTAACTCCCTGTTCCAGAGATCTGAAGTGTGAGAACCTGCTGCTAGACTACCAGAACAACATCAAGGTCTCAGACTTTGGCTTCTCGCGCTACTTCGAGGAGCCAGCCATCAGCAAGACCTTTTGTGGCAGCGCCGCCTACGCCGCCCCTGAGATCCTACAGGGGATCCCCTACTACATCCCTCTACATGACATCTGGGCTATGGGGGTCATACTCTACATCATGGTAGGTCATGACATCTGGGCTATGGGGGTCATACTCTACATCATGGTAGGTCATGACATCTGGGCTATGGGGGTCATATTGTACATCATGGTAGGTCATGACATCTGGGCCATGGGGATCATACTCTACATCATGGTAGGTCATGACATCTGGGCTATGGGGGTCATACTCTACATCATGGTAGGTCATGACATCTGGGCCATGGGGGTCATACTCTACATCATGGTAGGTCATGACATCTGGGTTATGGGGGTCATACTCTACATCATGGTAGGTCATGACATCTGGGCTATGGGGGTCATACTCTACATCATGGTAGGTCATGACATCTGGGTTATGGGGGTCATACTCTACATCATGGTAGGTCATGACATCTGGGTTATGGGGGTCATACTCTACATCATGGTAGGTCATGACATCTGGTCCATGGTTGTCATACTCTACATCATGGTAGGTAATGACATCTGGGCTATGGGGGTCATACTCTACATCATGGTAGGTCATGACATCTGGGCCATGGGAGTCATACTCTACATCATGGTAGGCCATGACATCTAGGCTATGGGGGTCATACTCTACATCATGGTAGGTCATGACATCTGGGCTATGGGGGTTATACTCTACATCATGGTAGGTCATGACATCTGGGCTATGGGGGTCATACTCTACATCATGGTAGGTCATGACATATGGGCCATGGGGGTCATACTCTACATCATGGTAGGTCATGACATCTGGGCTATGGGGGTCATACTCTACATCATGGTAGGTCATGACATCTGGGTTATGGGGGTCATACTCTACATCATGGTAGGTCATGACATCTGGGCCATGGGGGTCATACTCTACATCATGGTAGGTCATGACATCTGGGTTATGGGGGTCATACTCTACATCATGGTAGGTCATGACATATGGGCCATGGGGGTCATACTCTACATCATGGTAGGTCATGACATCTGGGCTATGGGGGTCATACTTAACCTACCTCGCCTTATTTCGTGTGTGTGTCTCGTCTGCTCCCAGGTGATGTTTTATCTATTGCCCCCACCCCTAGGTATGTGCCTCTACCTCCCCCACCCCTAGGTTTGTGCCTCTACCTCCCCCACCCCCAGGTCTGTGCCTCTATGTTTACCTCCCCCACCCCCACGTCTGTGCCTCCCCCACCCCCAGATCTGTGCCTCTATGTTAACCTCCCCCACCCCCAGGTCAGTGCCTCTACGTTTACCTCCCCCACCATCCAGGTCTGTGCCTCTATGTTTACCTCCCCCACCCCCAGGTCTGTGCCTCTATGTTTACCTCCCCCACCCCCAGGTCTGTGCCTCTACCTCCCCCACCCCTCAGGTCTGTGCCTCTATGTTTACCTCCCCCACCCCCCAGGTCTGTGCCTCTATGTTTACCTCCCCCACCCCCAGGTCTGTGCCTCTATGTTTACCTCCCCCACCCCCAGGTCTGTGCCTCTAAGTTTACCTCCCCCACCCCCCAGGTCTGTGCCTCTATGTTTACCTCCCCCACCCCCCAGGTCTGTGCCTCTATGTTTACCTCCCCCACCCCTAGGTCTGTGCCTCCCCCACCCCCTGGTTTGTACCTCTACCTCCCCCACCCCAGGTCTGTACCTCTATGTTTACCTCCCCCACCCCTAGGTCTGTGCCTCTACCTCCCCCACCCCAGGTCTGTACCTCTATGTTTACCTCCCCCACCCCTAGGTCTGTGCCTCTACCTCCCCCACCCCCAGGTCTGTGCCTCTATGTTTACCTCCCCCACCCCCAGGTCTGTGCCTCTATGTTTACCTCCCCCACCCCCCAGGTCTGTGCCTCTATGTTTACCTCCCCCACCCCCCAGGTATGTGCCTCTATGCCATACGACGACTCCAATGTCAAAAAGATGATTCGCGACCAGCTTGAGAAAAAAGTTTCGTTTTCCAAGTCAAAACCCGTGTCCAGGGAAGCAAAAGATCTAATATGTCACATCTTGGAGGTAAACTTAGATTACTTGTCCTCGTATTGCCTTTTTCAATCATTTCAGACGTCACTCGTCACATAACACATTATTCCAACTGTCATGTCACCCAGTCATGTCACCCATAATGTCATGTCACCCTTAATGTCATGTCACCCATAATGTCATGTCACCCATAATGTCATGTCACCAATAATGTCATGTCACCCATAATGTCATGTCACCAATAATGTCATGTTACCCGTGTTTCCATAGTATCGCTCATGCCATGCCATCTGTCAAGTCATCTGTTATGTCATCTGTCTTGAAGTGCTATGTCATCTGTCATGTCATACCATCTGTCAACTCATCCCATCTGTCATATATTACATGTCATCCCATCTGTCATATCATACCATCTGTCATGTCATACCATCTGTCATGTCATACCATCTGTCATGTCATCCCATCGGTCATGTCATCTGTCATGTCATTTGTCATGTCATCTGTCATTTCATCTGTCATGTCATCTGTCATGTCATCTGTCATGTCATGCCACTGGCTGCCAGGTGAATGTCAAGAGGCGGTACACCCTCGCCAATATCCTGGCCCACCCCTGGATGAACCCTGACGCCCCGCCCCTCCCCAACGAGGACTCCGCTGGTCAATGACAGTCCTATCTGTTGACCGTGTGACGTCACTGGTAGGTCCAACATCCATCTAGATATACGTCTCATACATCGTCTCATAGCTGCAGGTTCTGGTAGTATAGCTGCAGGTTCTGGTAGTATAGCTGCAGGTTCTGGTAGTATAGCTGCAGGTTCTGGTAGTATAGCTGCAGGTTCTGGTAGTATAGCTGCAGGTTCTGGTAGTATAGCTGCAGGTTCTGGTAGTATAGCTGCAGGTTTAGGTAGTTTAGCTGTCAGTTAATATTTACAACCTACAGATTTCTGTCTTCTAGCTGCAGGTATAGATCTCCTAGCTACAGTTTTATAATGTCTAGCTGTGTGTTTAGATCTTCTAGCTACAGTTTTACAATGTCTAACTGTGTGTTTAGATCTTCTAGCTACAGTTTTACAATGTCTAGCTGTGTGTTTAGATCTTCTAGCTACAGTTTTACAATGTCTAACTGTGTGTTTAGATCTTCTAGCTACAGTTTTACAATGTCTAGCTGTGTGTTTAGATCTTCTAGCTACAGTTTTACAATGTCTAGCTGTGTGTTTAGATCTTCTAGCTACAGTTTTATAATGTCTAGCTGTGTGTTTAGATCTTCTAGCTGCAGTATTACAATGTCTAGCTGTGTGTTTAGTTCTTCTAGCTACAGATTTACAATATCTAGCTGTTTTTAGTTCAGTGTGTTGTGTTTAGGTCAGTGTGTTGTGTTTAGTTCAGTGTGTTGTGTTTAGTTCAGTGTCTTGTGTTTAGTTCAGTGTGTTGTGTTTAGGTCAGTGTGTTGTGCCCAGGTCAGTGTGTTGTGTTTAGTTCAGTGTGTTGTGTTTAGTTCAGTGTGTTGTGTTTAGGTCAGTGTGTTGTGCTAAGGTCAGTGTGTTGTGTTTAGGTCAGTGTGTTGTGTTTAGGTCAGTGTGTTGTGTTTAGGTCAGTGTGTTGTGTTTAGGTCAGTGTGTTGTGTTTAGTTCAGTGTGTTGTGTTTAGTTCAGTGTGTTGCCCTTCTGACCTTGACTTTAATTAACTGACCTTGTCTTACAGATGTATTTTGCCGAGCTGATGGCCACACCTGGAGTTGCTGTATGACAGATGCCTGACATGATGTATGACAGATGCCTGACATTTATATGACAGATGCCTGATATGTGTATGACAGATGCCTGACATGATGTATGACAGATGCATGACATGATGTATGGCAGATGCCTGACATTTATATGACAGATACCTGGCATGCGGTATGCCAGATGCCTGACATGATGTTTGACAGATGCCTGACTAAAGCGGATGCCTTTCATCCGCCATGCATGAGAGAAGCGTGTATGTAGTGTTATTGAATGGGGGTAATCTGTTTTCATGGTTTTCCCGACTTATAACCAATTATGTAATCAAAGATTATGTCATTATTTTTGAATTGTAAGATCCGTTTTTGAGGTTCCTTATTTCGTGATGTAATTACAAATGCTAATTATTTGGATGGCGAGAGACAAAGGGAAATAAATGTCTGTTAAAACACCATGTTCGTCTCGCTGTTACCTAACTTGTGTTTGACCTTGTGCTCATCACGTGACCTTTCGGGGTCAGGTTTTGGGATTGGGTCGAATGGTGGTTTTAAGGGTGGCTGAAATAAATGGTGGTTTTAATGGTGGCTGAAATAAATGGTGGTTTTAACCGTAACTGAAATAAGTAATTGTAGCAATCGGCTAAAATAAATGATTAGAACAGTAGCTGAAATGAGGGCCAAACTTTTTTTGAAAGAAAGCGTCAAACAGGACCCCGATTGTATGGATGGGGTCCACGGGAACGGATAAAAAACCTTTTATGTGTCGTGACGCCCCCACGGGGAAAGTTTTGAGATTTCTGCCCCAGCAGACAAGAGCCCTCACCCCGCCGCTTCACCCCGGGGCTGCTGATCATGATGGGACTGGAGTGCCATCCCCCGCTCACCGCCCCAGGCCCAGCCCCAGGCGGGGCGTTGGTTTGAAACGTTCAACTAATGAACGCGCTGTTCTCCAAATCTTCTTTGTCAATTTGTCGCCCTCTGATCGCAGCTCGGTCTGGTGTTTGCATTTCATCACAGATTGTTATCGCGTTGGTGGCCGCTTTCTGGTGTAATGGTGTCTGGTGTCATGGTGTTATCTACATGGACACCATATTCTGGTGTAATGGTGTCATGGTGTTATCTACATGGATACCATATTCTGGTTTAATGGTGTTTGGTGTTATCTAGATGGACACCATATTCTGGTTTAATGGTGTCTGGTGTCATCTAAATGGACACCATATTCTGGTGTAATGGTGTCTGGTGTCAGGGGTGTCATCTAGATGGATACCATATTCTGGTGTAATGGTGTCTGGTGTCATCTAAATGGACACCATATTCTGGTGTAATGGTGTCATGTTGTCATCTAGATGGACACCATATTCTGGTGTAATGGTGTCTGGTGTCATCTAGATGGATACCATATTCTGGTGTAATGGTGTCTGGTGTCAGGGGTGTCATCTAGATGGATACCATATTCTGGTGACCTTTGTTACCCAGTCAATGGGTCACTACTGACCCCATTACTGACCCCAGTCATTTGTGTCACTAGGTCACTACTGACCCAGTCAATGGGTCACTACTGACCCCATTACTGACCCCAGTTATTGGGTCACTACTGACCCCAGTCATTTTTTCACTACTGACGCCAGTCATTGGGTCACTACTGACCCCATTACTGACCCCAGTCATTGGGTCACCACTGACGCAATGACGGGTCACTGTTGACCCAGGCGTCCAGAGCCGCACAAAGAGCCCTTTTCTTTGATGCCAGATTCATGCCCCGCCCACAGAAGCAGTGCCGCTCCCCTGGGGCCGGCCCGACTCTGGCATTATTGTTTTAATAACTGGCTGTCACATGCGTACAAATGGGCAATTAAAAGGATGCGTCCTGCGCCGTCCCGTCCCCCCAGCCAACTCTGGCCTCACTGGCTCGTCAGCTTACCACCCTCACCCCACCCCACCCTACCGCCCCTCCCCGGGTGAGATCTGGATTGACCTCTGGGACATGCGGGGCCCTGTCTGCCGCTAATGCCGCTAATCACGTGCTGTTATGGGGATGAAGGACGCCCGTGGGGTGGGGATCCCCCCGGGGCCATATTTCTCCGTGCATGTTTCCCTGGCCCCCACCCCTGAAGTGCTGGGTCAGCCAGAACCGTCCCGGCCGGTGGGGCACGAAGAATCCCTGTAAACGAAATGATTTGAAGGGTTGTTGGGCCATCTCAAGACCCCGACGGATGATCCAACGACCACTCTTCTCCCTCGAGTGGCTGCTCCACCCACGCTCGACCCAGGCTTTGTTTCAGCTCCTCTAGACGTGGGGGGGGGGCGGATTTTTAAAAACTGTTTCAGTTTGTTTTTATTGTGAATTACCTCCCTGCTTGCGATGAGCCATTTGTAGGCCTGTTTAGTCTTACAGTAAAAAAATTGTAATACTTTTATTTTTTATTGAAACAAATCACAAAAACTCTGTAGTAACAATTAAAAGTTTTACAGTAACAAACTTACCATAAAAATTGTGCATACCAGAGTGGCCATTTACAAAATACTGTGTGGGGGGGGGGGGGGGAGCTAATAGTGATATGTACACGTGCAACAGGGTAAAGGGAAGATTGAAGTTAAGTAGAGAAAAAGGTTTGAATCTGGTTGAGGGGGTGGGGGGGGGGGAATGATTCTTAAAATGCTTTTTTAAATTATTTTAAAAAATTTATTCATAAGGTCATAAATCAGCTCAAAATGTTATTAAATAAACATATTGAAGAAGGATTTACAAATATACACATAAAAACACAAATATGCTGTTTAGACAATTTTAACAACATGTAAATACAATGTGAATAAAGGGAGGTAATAAATAGTAAGTACGTGGTATTGAAAAACTTCAAAAAAACGAGCGAGGCGAAGGGGTCAGGGGGACAAACACGGATTCTGTGTCTCTATATGTGGCGGACGGAATGGGGGCAAACACGGATTCTGTGTCTCTATATGTGGCGGACGGAATGGGGGCAAACACGGATTCTGTGTCTCTATATGTGGCGGACGGAATGGGGGCAAACACGGATTCTGTGTCTCTATATGTGGCGGACGGAATGGGGGCAAACACGGATTCTGTGTCTCTATATGTGGCGGACGGAATGGGGGCAAACACGGATTATGTGTCTCTATATGTGGCGGACGGAATGGGGGCAAACACGGATTCTGTGTCTCTATATGTTGCGGACGGAATGGGGGCAAACACGGATTATGTGTCTCTATATGTGGCGGACGGAATGGGGGCAAACACGGATTCTGTGTCTCTATATGTGGCGGACGGAATGGGGGCAAACACGGATTCTGTGTCTCTATATGTTGCGGACGGAATGGGGGCAAACACGGATTCTGTGTCTCTATATGTTGCGGACGGAATGGGGGCAAACACGGATTCTGTGTCTCTATATGTGGCGGACGGAATGGGGGCAAACACGGATTCTATGTCTCTATATGTGGCGGACGGAATGGGGAAAGGCAAGAGTCAAAAGACTAGACTTTATCGCCATAGTGTAATATCCTTAAAGCATTTATTATCATTGGTTGCCTACAAGCATTGGTTGCCTACAAGCATTGGTTGCCTACAAATATTGGTTGCCTACAAGCATTGGTTGCCTACAAGCATTGGTTGTCTACAAGTATTGGTTGCCTACAAGTATTGGTTGCCTACAAGCATTGGTTGCTTACAAGCATTGGTTGCCTACAAGTATTGGTTGCCTACAAGCATTGGTTGCCTACAAGCATTGGTTGCCTACAAGCATTGGTTGCCTACAAGCATTGGTTGCCTTCAAGCATTGGTTGCCTACAAGCATTGGTTGCCTACAAGCATTGGTTGCCTACAAGCATTGGTTGCTTACAAGTCATCATACATAAAAATTATTAAAAACAGAATGGTTGTTTTATTTTCTTTATTTTAGTGCTATTAAAAATCTGTTAATAGGTTTTTAATTAATTTTTATTTTTATTTTTTTTCCGTTGTTGAATGTGGTAATCTTTTAATTTATTTTAACGACTAACTTAATAGCTACCAAAGTTTGACAATTAGGTCTTCTATTTCTGTATTTGCCGAACAGATCTGATTCTGTTGCATGGACATATCTTACTTGACCATCTATCAGATATGTGCGACTCTATATACGCAAGAAATTAAAGTCAAGTGATATGACTTTAATCGTAACTGTCAACAAAGTCAAGTGCTGTGACTTTAAACTTGGACTGTCAACAAAGTCAAGTGCTATGACTTTAAACTTGGACTGTCAACGAAGTCAAGTGCTATGACTTTAAACTTGACTGTAAACAAAGTCAAGTGATATGACTTTGAACTTGGACTGTAAACAAAGTCAAGTGCTATGACTTTAAACTTGGACTGTAAACAAAGTCAAGTGATATGACTTTAAACTTGGACTGTAAATAAAGTCAAGTGATGATACTTTAAACTTGGCCTGTAAACAAAGTCAAGTGCTATGACTTTAAACTTGACTGTAAACAAAGTCAAGTGATATGACTTTGAACTTGGACTGTAAACAAAGTCAAGTGCTATGACTTTAAACTTGACTGTAAACGAAGTCAAGTGATATGACTTTAAACTTGACTGTAAACAAAGTCAACTCAAATCCCCACGTGCCGGTCACACCTGTCTCCGTTTGAAATTAGTGGCCTGTGATACGATTGGCTGGTATCTTGACCTAGATACAGCGACGCGTGCCAGACGACAGCTGATCAGCTGTTTCAAGCCCAGGTGAGATGTACGCCCCCCCCCCCCACACACACACACCCAGTGACGTGAGCCCAGCTGTACACGAATCTTTTTGTTAACGCCGACGGCATCAGACTCCCCTCCCCTCCCCTCCCCGCACCCAGCCACCCCCCCCCCTCTCCAGCCCCACGGACTTTTTGGTACATTTCAATTTCAGACGATATGTTATAGTAAAATCATGTTCTTTGTGGAGTTGGTTCTTCGACTCACTTGGGCCTTAACTCGTGTTCTTTGTGGGCCTTACTCGGGAATTGTGTGGGCATCATGTTTTTTGTGGGCCTTAACTCATGTTTTGTGTGGGCCTTACTCAGGAATTGTGTGGGCATTAAATCATGTTTTTAAATCATGAAAGTTTATTTGCATTCGTGGTAACTGTCTCCCAAGCTGCCTATTCCCCTCTCCATAAATAATAAAAACCAATAAGTTGGTTGAAATCTTTGTACGGCGATAATTTGTTGTTAATCGTGGCAGAATAGCAAGTCAAAAATAGAAATCAATCAGCCGACGTATTTAATGAGCACCAATTATGGCGTAAATCTCAACCATTTCAACCAACGACAACACCCACCTTCTTACCCCTGCCCTTCAGCAAAAACTGCCGATGTGTTTGTCACCCACCTCCCACTTACCCCCCCCCCCCCCCCTCCCCCCCATGAGTTAAATGCCCCAGTATTTATCAGCACGTGAAATACATCAAGATAACCCGGGTTTTAACCCCCCCCCCCCCTTGTAGCTAAGGCCGGTTCAAAGGCCGGCGTCAGATTGAAATGATTTCATCGTTAGTTAAATGTCCCATAGCGGCCGTCCATTGTCTGGCCGTCCATTGTTTGGCCGTCCATTGATTTCATCGCTAGTTAAATGTCCCATAGCGGCCGTCCATTGTCTGGCCGTCCATTGTTTGGCCGTCCATTAAAAGATCGCGTTAGATTGGCCGTCAAGCTGGGGACAAATTTGACGTAATCAAATATTCAAGTCTTTACTTAGTGGTCTCGCGCGGTCGTTACGCTCTGCTGAACGCGGGGATAGCCGCGTTTGTTGGGACAGTCGCGCTGGCTGACAGGGGGGGGGGGGGAATAGGGAAATAAACGGGGCTGTAATAGGGGTGCAAGGTGTATCACAGGGGTGCGGACAGGAATGTCACCGGGGTGTGGGGGTCGGTGTAGAAGGGGTGTGAGCTTAAGTGTTCAATGGATGGGGTGTGGGGGTCGGTGTAAAAGGGATGTGAGCTTATGTATTCAATGGATAGGGTGTGGGGGTCGGTGTAAAAGGGGTGTGAGCTTATGTGTTCAATGGATGTGGTTTGGGGGTCGGTGTAAAAGCGGTGTGAGCTTATGTATTCAATGGATGGGGTGTGGGGGTCGGTGTAAAAGGGATGTGAGCTTATGTGTTCAATGGATGGGGTGTGGGGGTCGGTGTAAAAGGGATGTGAGCTTATGTATTCAATGGATAGGGTGTGGGGGTCGGTGTAAAAGGGATGTGAGCTTATGTGTTCAATGGATAGGGTGTGGGGATCGGTGTAAAAGGGGTGTGAGCTTATGTGTTCAATGGATAGGGTGTGGGGATCGGTGTAAAAGGGGTGTGAGCTTATGTGTTCAATGGATGGGGTGTGGGGGTCGGTGTAAAAGGGGGGTGAGCTTATGTGTTCAATGGATGGAGTGTGGGGGTCGGTGTAAAAGGGGTGTGAGCTTATGTGTTCAATGGATGGGGTGTGGGGGTCGGTGTAAAAGGGGTGTGAGCTTAAGTGTTCAATGGGTGGGGTGTGGGGGTCGGTGTAAAAGGGGTGTGAGCTTATGTGTTCAATGGATGGGGTGTGGGGGTCGGTGTAAAAGGGGTGTGAGCTTATGTGTTCAATGGATGGGGTGTGGGGGTCGGTGTAAAAAGGGGTGGGAGTGTATCACGGAGGTTTGGGGGTCGGTGTAAAAGGGGTGTCAGCTTATGTGTTCAATGGATGGGTGTGGGGGTTGTTGTATGTCATGTGGGTTGTTGGATGTCATGTGGGTTGGATGTCATGTGGGCTGTTGTATGTCATGTGGGTTGTTGTATGTCATGTGGGTTGTTGTATGTCATGTGGGTTGTCGTATGTCATGTGGGTTGTTGGATGTCATGTGGGTTGTTGGATGTCATGTGGGTTGTATGTCATGTGGGTTGTTGGATGTCATGTGGGCTGTAGGATGTCATGTGGGCTGTAGGATGTCATGTGGGTTGTTGTATGTCATGTGGGTTGTTGTATGTCATGTGGGCTGTAGGTGTCATGTGGGCTGTAGGATGTCATGTGGGATGTATGATGTCATGTGGGTTGTTTTATGTCATGTGGGTTGATGGATGTCATGTGGGTTGTTGGATGTCATGTGGGTTGTCGTGTAATGTCGGCCATATGTCATGTTGATTGTATGTCATGTTGGTTCTATGTCAAGTTGATTGTTGTATGTCGTGCTGGATGTTTATCGAGTCGATTTGGTTGGCTGGTTGTTGGACGGGGGAGTTTATGGAGTCGTGTCTCAGCTAACATAAACATAAAATTTGTAAGTCATCTATCAAGGGAGGTAATTGGTACAAAGGGGCGTAATTTTTTTTATCTCAGGTAGGAGGAGTTTGACATCCGTATGCTAATGGTCAGAGGAGTCTCGTGTCTTTATGGTGATGGTGTCAGATAGTGCGCTGAAGACCTCTACATGACTACCAACAACGACCTCTGACCGCCACCAATGACCTCTGACTGCCACCAATGACCTCTACATGACTGCCACCAACGACCTCTGACTGCCACCAACGACCTCTACATGACTGCCACCAATGACCTCTACATGACTGCCACCAATGACCTCTACATGACCGCCACCAATGACCTCTACATGACTGCCACCAATGACCTCTACATGACTGCCACCAACGACCTCTACATGACTGCCACCAATGACCTCTACATGACTGCCACCAACGACCTCTGACTGCCACCAACGACCTCTACATGACTGCCACCAATGACCTCTACATGACCGCCACCAATGACCTCTACATGACTGCCACCAATGACCTCTACATGACTGCCACCAACGACCTCTACATTACAGCCACCAATGTCCTCTACATGACTGCCACCAAAGACCTCTACATGACCGCCACCAACGACCTCTGACTGCCACCAATGACCTCTACATGACTGCCACCAACGACCTCTACATTACAGCCACCAATGTCCTATACATGACTGCCACCAAAGACCTCTACATGACCGCCACCAACGACCTCTGACTGCCACCAATGACCTCTACATGACTGCCACCAATGACCTCTGACTGCCACCAATGACCGCTACATGACTGCCACCAATGACCTCTACATGACTGCCACCAACGACCTCTACATGACTGCCACCAACGACCTCTACATGACTGCCACCAACGACCTCTACATGACTGCCACCAACGACCTCTACATGACTGCCACCAATGACCTCTGACTGCCACCAACGACCTCTACATGACTGCCACCAATGACCTCTGACTGCCACCAACGACCTCTACATGACTGCCCCCAATGACCTCTACATGACTGCCACCAACGACCTCTGACTACCACCAATGACCTCTACATGACCGCCACAAATTACCTCTGACCGCCACCAACGACCTCTGACTGCCACCAATGACCTCTACATGACTGCCACCAATGACCTCTGACTGCCACCAACGACCTCTACATGACTGCCACCAACGACCTCTACATGACTGCCCCCAATGACCTCTACATGACTGCCACCAATGACCTCTGACTGCCACCAACGACCTCTATATGACTGCCACCAATGACCTCTACATGACTGCCACCAATGACCTCTACATGACTGCCACCAACGACCTCTACATGACTGCCACCAACGACCTCTACATAACTGCCACCAAAGACCTCTACATGACTGCGATCAATGACCTCTGACCGCCACCAATGACCTCTATATGACCTCGCCACCAATGACCTCTACATGACTGCCACCAAAGACCTCTACATGACTGCGATCAATGACCTCTGACCGCCACCAATGACCTCTATATGACCTCGCCACCAATGACCTCTACATGACTGCCACCAAAGACCTCTACATGACTGCCACCAACGACCTTTACATGACTGCCACCAATGACCTCTACAAAACTGCCACCAATGACCTCTGACTGCCACCAATGACCTCTGACTGCCACCAACGACCTCTGACTGCCACCAATGACCTCTACATGACTGCCACCAACGACCTCTATATGACCGCCACCAATGACCTCTATATGACCTCGCCACGATTGAATGTCCATTGTTTGAGCTAGCGTGGCCATGTCACTAAGATTACAGCCTGTAATTTCATGATTACCATTGATTACATTCACACAAGCCAACGACAAAACAATAAATGTTTGAAGTAACAATTTTTTCATGTCAGACGGAGACATTATGGCGGTACATGCACGCATTTCTCACGCGACAACCCGGGGCAACCCGCTGGGAGGTAGAGGCCAACCACCGACACTAAACCCACACAAAGCGGCCAGTCGTAAAACAAAGATGTGACGTCATTTCCTGTACGCGCGTCGGCTGCGGGGTTTCTGTAATAAATCTTTACGCTTAGCCTGTCGGGAAAATCAATAGTTTACATAACAAACACGTAGCCGTAGTTTACATAAAACATGAAGCTATCATTTACACCGTCAATATGCAGCTATCATTTACACAGTAAAGATGGAGAAATAACATACAGTAAATTGAGCAGACATTCTGAAGAATGTACCTTTACTGTTTGTTAACAATGTGGAATTAATTCTTGGTTTTAAATAGCAGCAATTACGTCCCTTTAATCTCATTGGTTGGTTAGATCACGTGACCAAGTTGTCACTCCTCTCTCGGGCAAATAAAGTTTGATAACAGTAATGTCCGCTTGTTAAACTTTAGTGGTCGATGGTAAATGGTCAGTGGTAAATAGTCAGTGGTAAATGGTCAGTGGTTAGTGGTCAGTGGCTAAATTGGACTAAATGTATACCGATTATAGACCAAGCCGCCTATGAGAATTGAAACATGTTCCTATGTTTGAACTAGCTGCGATATTTTCTTACAAACCCATCTCGTCGGTTCTGCACTGTTAAGTTATTTCTCTGTTTTTAGCTGTAAACAAATGTAGTACCTTAATTTCTCTGTTTTTAGCTGTAAACAAATGTAGTACCTTAATTGTCTGGCCCAGATAAAAAACGATTTTGGTCATTCCAAAAATTTTTTGGGCCATTCCAAAATGTTTGGTCATTCTATAATGTTTTTGGTCAATCCAAAAAATTGGTGGTCATTCTATAATGTTTTTGGTCATTCCAAAATGTGTTGAACTGCTATTATGACTGCAGCTGTCTGAACTACCATGCGGATAAATTATACACACACAAAGAAATATTTCGAACACATACACTAACTAACATATATAAAAACACAAACAAAAATCAACACGGGCAAACAAACGAAACAAAAAAAAACCAACACTGAGAAAATATTTCTTTGAGTCTTTTAATGTTTCCAGTATAAGTTTTAGAGGCTGGTACAAAATCTGGCTGGTAACATTTGTAAAATCTGGACATGTAGACTTGCACATTGTGCTGGGTAAACCTGCTGGTTGGCTCACGGGTTGGCCCAGAGGTTGGCCCACGGGTTGGCCCAGAGGTTGGCCCAACATTACATGCAATGCTGGCCCATTCATTAAATGTAAAATATATCATGTCCTTTATCAAGATATAAGAATGCATATTTGTAAACAGGCGAGTACATTAGCTGTAAATATTGCATCAAAGTTCAATTTTGGATAATATTTATTTTGTATTACCTCTTTGGTGGTCTAATAAAATCAAAGCAAGTCATTGTTAGTGCACATTTAAATATTGTTTAATACATGTATTGGGCCAAAATATTGCACAATATACGTAATGGTAAAAAATGTTGAACAATATATGTATTAGTCCAAAATATTACACAATATATATTGGTAAAAATTATTGCAAAATAGGGCCTTTAGGTATTGTTCAAAATATTGCACATTGTACGTACTGGTCAAAATATTGCACATTGTACGTTATGGTCAAAATATTAAACAATGTACGGTATGGTCAAAATATTACACAATATACGGTATGGTCAAAATATTGCACAATTTACGTACTGGTCAAAATATTGCACAATATAAGTATTTGTCCAACGTTTACACGATATATGTTTTGGTCCAAAATATTGCACAACAATGTAGTGGTCCAAAATATTGCACAACAATGTAGTGGTCCAAAATATTGCACAACAATGTAGTGGTCCAAAATATTGCACAACAATGTAGTGGTCCAAAATATTGCACAACAATGTAGTTGCCCAAAATATTGCACAACAATGTAGTGGCCCAAAATATTGCACAACAATGTAGTGGTCCAAAATATTGCACAACAATGTAGTGGCCCAAAATATTGCACAACAATGTAGTGGTCCAAAATATTGCACAACAATGTAGTGGTCCAAAATATTGCACAACAATGTAGTGGTCCAAAATATTGCACAACAATGTAGTTGCCCAAAATATTGCTTATAAAAAGAATGATACAGTTAACAGTTCTATAGATTATTTAAAACTTTCAGGATTTTATCAAATTTAATCTGTCTGAGATGGTGTCACATGTGGACCACATGTTGACCACACGTTGACCACATGTTGACCACATGTTGACCACAGGCTGACCACATGTTGACCACACGTTGACCACATGTTGACCACACGTTGACCACATGTTGACCACATGTTGACCACATGTTGACCACATGTTGACCACATGGTGACCGCATGTTGACTACATGTTGACCACATGTTGACCACATGTTGACCACATGTTGACCATAAGTTGACCAACTCAACAGATTCTATTCACTTACTCAAACATTGCACTTGGGCGTAACATTTTACGAACTTTCTTTATTTCAGCATACATATACGTCATACAACTGACACGCTTGTAACACATATACGTCATACAGCTGACACGCTTGTTAACACGCACAACAATCTGACCCTGACATCTATAGCATTTGACCCTGACCTTCATTGTGAGAAAGATCTGTTGGTGTTTTAAACAGGCATTCCAACAACAGCGTAGAAAAAAATATAACATTATATCACTTGTGCTCTCAACACTCATCAAATTCAACATATATTCACCCTGACACAACTAATCCAAACTACAATTTCCAGTATTATTTGAATTGTTTTGGTATCAGTAGCACGGCAGCTGATTGGCTGGCTATTTTTAGCATCACTAGACAGCGAGATGTGTCCCAGTTGAGCTGGTCAGCTTGATGACGTGGCAGCTGGTCAGCTTGATGACGTGGCAGCTGGTCAGCTAGCAGGTCCTGGATGACGTAGGCAGCTGCAGCAGGATGACCTGCCGGTTCTCCGTGGGGTGGCACTTGTTGATGTGCCGCGTGAGTCCGGGCGAGCTGTGGAACATGCTGGTGCAGTACTTGCAGGAGAAGGTCTCGCTCGAGTGGGAGCTCCGGCTGTGGCGGTCTGCTGCCGCCTTGCTGCTGAAGGCGGTGCCGCACGTGCTGCAGGAGAACTGAAGGTGAAGGCCGTGGGAGGACGCCTCGTGCTTCAGTCTAGAGGAGTCGCTGGGGAACGTCTTGCAGCAGATACTGCACGTGACGCCCGATCGGCGCGAGATGGCCGCCTTGGTGTCAGGCACTAAGTCAGCTTGGCCGCTTTGATTCTCTGTTGGATGGCCAGTTTTAGTCTTTGTAAGATGAGATGTCTGATTTTTTATAAAATGGCCAGTATGATTTTCTATAGAATGGTCGATTTGATTATCTTTAAGCTGGCTGTTTTCAGTCTTTATGTGATGGGCCGTTTGATTTTCTGTAGGATGGCCCGTTTGATTATCTGTAGGATGGCCCGTTTGATCATTTGTAGGATGGCCGTGTGTGTTTTGCGCCGGATGGCCATGCTGACTCAGCACGTGCTTGCGGAGATACGCCTGTCTCTGGAACTTTTTTCCACATGCCGGGCATTCAACCTGCTGGCTGACCGGAAGTTGCTGGCTGACCGGAAGTTGCTGGCTGACCGGAAGTTGTTGGCTGACCGGAAGTTGTTGGCTGACCGGAAGTTGTTGGCTGACCGGAAGTTGTTGGCTGACCGGAAGTTGTTGGCTGACCGGAAGTTGTTGGCTGACCGGAAGTTGTTGGCTGACCGGAAGTTGTTGGCTGACCGGAAGTTGTTGGCTGACCGGAAGTTGTTGGCTAACCGGAAGTTGTTGGCTGACCGGAAGTTGAGTCAAGGCCACGTCTGTGTGCAGACGTCCAGCGGTCAAACCTTGAACGGGGCTGCTAACAGCTGCAGCCCTCGCGTCGCTGTCGGCCCTGACGCTGCTCGACTCGTGACTCCGCTGCTCGGGTCTCTGAGAGTCACCACGACTCTCCGACACTGACGGCGTCATTATGGTGCTGGTCGCTGTGATGGTCGTGGTCTGTTGCTGGCGACTGTGTGCGTTCAAAACTTGTAGCACCAGAGAACGTTCTTCGGGGGTCAGACTGCTCCCTAACGTGGCGGGGGTCAGACTGCTGCCTAATGTGCCGGGGGTCAGACTGGTGCCTAACGTGCCGGGGGTCTGACTGCTCCCTAATGTGCCGGGGGTCAGACTGCTCCCTAACGTGGCGGGGGTCAGACTGCTGCCTAATGTGCCGGGGGTCACACAGTCTAAGGTGCTGGTGACGTCAGAGCTGCCCCTTGATATAACTCTAACGGTGTACAGCGGATGTGACGTAGCTTGTGATACACACGACGTCACTTCCTGTTCTGTGACATCCCTCTCAGATTCAGGCTCAGATTTGAAACCTTCAGACTCGGGCAGACTTTTATCTGTCGTTGGCTCGGGCAGACTTTTGTCTGCAATTTGCTCAGAACTAAGGAGCGTGATCGTCAGTGGTTCACCCTTGACCCTGCCCTGATGAAGGTCTTTCACCTTGAGTATTTGTACAGGAAGTGCTGACCCAGCTTCCCTGAAGCTTCCTGCTCCCACCTGTCCTGCTCCCACCTGTCCTGCTCCCACCTGTCCTGCTCCCACCTGTCCTGCTGCAGGCAGACGACTGTCCTGTGGTTCCACTGAGTCTGGTCTGGTCAGCGTGCCGGACAGGTTCTTGATCTCCGGCCTCGGGGCGATCTTGTAGCCGGCTGGCTCAAGCTTGGAACTTCCGGTCTGGGCGACCTTGCTGCTGACCCTCGGCTTGTGCCAGCGTCTGTGGCTCGCTAGGTTGGCCGGACAGTTGAAGACCTTCTCGCACTCAGGACAGCGGTACTCCACGTGGACGATACGCGAGCACCTGCAGGCAAGGGTAGGACAATGGTCAGTAGATGTAGGCAAGGGTAGGACATGGTCAGCACATGTAGGCAAGGGTAGGACATGGTCAGCACATGTAGGCAAGGTAGGACAATGGTCAGTAGATGTAGGCAAGGGTAGGACATGGTCAGCACATGTAGGCAAGGTAGGACATGGTCAGCACATGTAGGCAATGGTAGGACAATGGTCAGCACATGTAGGCAAGGGTAGGACAATGGTCAGGACATGTAGGCAATAGTAGGAAAATGGTCAGGACATGTAGGCAAGGGTAGGACATGGTCAGGACATGTAGGCAAGGGTAGGACATGGTCAGCACATGTAGGCAAGGGTAGGACATGGTCACGACATGTAGGCAAGGGTAGGACAAGGTCAGGACATGTAGGCAAGGGTAGGACATGGTCAGCACATGTAGGCAAGGGTAGGACATGGTCACGACATTTATGCAAGGGTAGGACATGGTCAGCACATGTAGGCAAGGGTAGGACATGGTCAGCACATGTAGGCAAGGGTAGGACAATGGTCAGTAGATGTACGCAAGGGCAGGACATGGTCAGTAGATGCAGGCAAGGGCAGGACAATGGTCAGTAGATGTAGGCAAGGGCAGGACATGGTCAGTACATGTAGGCAAGGTAGGACATGGACAGCACATGTAGGCATGGGTAGGACAATGGTCATCACTTGTAGGCAAGGGCAGGACAATGGTCAGCACATGTAGGCAAGGGTAGGACAATGGTCAGTAGATGTAGGCAAGGGTAGGACAATGGTCAGTGGATGTAGGCAAGGGTAGGACAATGGTCAGCACATGTAGGCAAGGGTAGGACAATGGTCAGTGGATGTAGGCAAGGGTAGGACAATGGTCAGCACATGTAGGCAAGGGTAGGACAATGGTCAGTGGATGTAGGCAAGGGTAGGACAATGGTCAGCACATGTAGGCAAGGGTAGGACAATGGTCAGCACATGTAGGCAATGGTAGGACAATGGTCAGCACATGTAGGCAAGGGTAGGACATGGTCAGCACATGTAGGCAAGGGTAGGACAATGGTCAGTGGATGTAGGCAAGGGTAGGACAATGGTCAGCACATGTAGGCAAGGGTAGGACAATGGTCAGTGGATGTAGGCAAGGGTAGGACAATGGTCAGCACATGTAGGCAAGGGTAGGACAATGGTCAGCACATGTAGGCAAGGGTAGGACAATGGTCAGTGGATGTAGGCAAGGGTAGGACAATGGTCAGCACATGTAGGCAAGGGTAGGACAATGGTCAGCACATGTAGGCAAGGGTAGGACAATGGTCAGTAGATGTAGGCAAGGGTAGGACATGGTCAGCACATGTAGGCAAGGGTAGGACAATGGTCAGTGGATGTAGGCAAGGGTAGGACAATGGTCAGCACATGTAGGCAAGGGTAGGACAATGGTCAGCACATGTAGGCAAGGGTAGGACAATGGTCAGTAGATGTAGGCAAGGGTAGGACATGGTCAGGACATGTAGGCAAGGGTAGGACAATGGTCAGTGGATGTAGGCAAGGGTAGGACAATGGTCAGTGGATGTAGGTTTAAATAGAAGCTTAAATTCAGGTTTGGCATACACGTGTTTGGTTGCGGCCTTTTGTTTGTCTTTTTTTTTTTTTTATTTGGCATGAAGTCAAACTCCAAAACAAATGGACGACAAAAAAACTAACATGAATCATGTTTTTAATCAGGTAAAGTTTAGTTTGCGTTATGTTTGAATCAATGATTGTGGCATTAATTTTTGACAGCTTTTGTTCGCAGTTTTTAAGGTTAGAAAACACGTTTTATTGTGCTAGAGGGTGAGTCATGTGCTAGTGATGTGTCGTGATGTGCTAGTGATGTGCTAGTGATGTGCTAGTGATGTGCTAGTGATGTGCTAGTGATGTGCTAGTGATGTGCTAGTGATGTGCTAGTGATGTGCTAGTGATGTGGCGTAATGTGCTAGTGATGTGTCGTGATGTGCTAGTGATGTGGCGTAATGTGCTAGTGATGTGGCGTGATGTGCTAGTGATGTGGCGTGATGTGCTTGTGGTGTGCTAGTGATGTGGCGTGATGTGCTAGTGATGTGGCGTAATGTGCTAGTGATGTGCTAGTGATGTGGCGTGATGTGCTAGTGATGTGGCGTGATGTGCTAGCAATGTGTCGTGATGTGGCGTGATGTGCTAGTGATGTGCTAGTGATGTGCTAGTGATGTGGCGTGTTGTGCTAGTGATGTGGCGTGATGTGCTAGTGATGTGCTAGTGATGTGGCGTAATGTGGCGTGATGTGCGAGTGATGTGCTAGTGATGTGCTAGTGATGTGCTAGTGATGTGCTAGTGATGTGCTAGTGATGTGCTAGTGATGTGGCGTAATGTGGCGTGATGTGCTAGCAATGTGCTAGTGATGTGCTAGTGATGTGCTAGTGATGTGGCGTAATGTGCTGTGATGTACTAGTGATGTGCTGTAATGTGGCGTAATGTGGCGTGATGTGCGAGTGATGTGCTAGTGATGTGCTAGTGATGTGCTAGTGATGTGCTAGTGATGTGGCGTAATGTGGCGTGATGTGCTAGCAATGTGTCGTGATGTGGCGTGATGTGCTAGTGATGTGCTAGTGATGTGCTAGTGATGTGGCGTGATGTGCTAGTGATGTGGATTGATGTGCTAGTGATGTGGCGTGATGTGTCGTGATGTGCTAGTGATGTGGCGTGATGTGCTAGTGATGTGGCGTGATGAGCTAGTGATGTGCTAGTGATGTGCTAGTGATGTGGCGTGATGTTTCGTGATGTGCTAGTGATGTGCTAGTGATGTGGCGTGATGTGCTAGTGATGAGACTTAATGTGCTAGTGATGTGCTAGTGATGTGCTAGTGATGTGCTAGTGATGTGTCGTGATGTGCTGTGATGTGCTAGTGATGTGCTAGTGATGTGCTAGTGATGTGCTAGTGATGTGGCGTAATGTGCTAGTGATGTGGCGTGATGTGCTAGTGATGTGGCGTAATGTGCTAGTGATGTGGCGTGATGTGCTAGTGATGTGGCGTGATGTGCTTGTGGTGTGCCAGCGATGTGGCGTGATGTGCTAGTGATGTGGCGTAATGTGCTAGTGATGTGGCGTGATGTGCTAGTGATGTGGCGTGATGTGCTAGCAATGTGTCGTGATGTGGCGTGATGTGCGAGTGATGTGCGAGTGATGTGCTAGTGATGTGCTAGTGATGTGCTAGTGATGTGCTAGTGATGTGCTAGTGATGTGCTAGTGATGTGGCGTAATGTGGCGTGATGTGCTAGCAATGTGCTAGTGATGTGCTAGTGATGTGCTAGTGATGTGCTAGTGATGTGGCGTAATGTGCTGTGATGTGCTAGTGATGTGCTGTAATGTGGCGTGATGTGCGAGTGATGTGCTAGTGATGTGCTAGTGATGTGCTAGTGATGTGGCGTAATGTGGCGTGATGTGCTAGCAATGTGTCGTGATGTGGCGTGATGTGCTAGTGATGTGCTAGTGATGTGCTAGTGATGTGGCGTGATGTGCTAGTGATGTGGATTGATGTGCTAGTGATGTGGCGTGATGTGTCGTGATGTGCTAGTGATGTGGCGTGATGTGCTAGTGATGTGGCGTGATGTGCTAGTGATGTGCTAGTGATGTGGCGTGATGTTTTGTGATGTGCTAGTGATGTGCTAGTGATGTGGCGTGATGTGCTAGTGATGAGGCGTGATGTGCTAGTGATGTGCTAGTGATGTGCTAGTGATGTGCTAGTGATGTGGCGTGATGTGCTAGTGATGTGCTAGTGATGTGGCGTGATGTTTCGTGATGTGCTAGTGATGTGCTAGTGATGTGGCGTGATGTGCTAGTGATGAGACGTGATGTGCTAGTGATGTGCTAGTGATGTGCTAGTGATGTGCTAGTGATGTGGAGTGATGTGCTAGTGATGTGCTAGTGATGTGCTAGTGATGTGCTAGTGATGTGCTAGTGATGTGCTAGTGATGTGCTAGTGATGTGGCGTGATATGCTAGTGATGTGGCGTGATGTGCTAGTGATGTGCTAGTGATGTGCTAGTGATGTGCTAGTGATGTGCTAGTGATGTGCTAGTGATGTGCTAGTGATGTGGCGTGATATGCTAGTGATGTGGCGTGATGTGCTAGTGATGTGCTAGTGATGTGCTAGTGATGTGCTAGTGATGTGCTAGTAATGTGCTAGTGATGTGCTAGTGATGTGCTAGTGATGTGCTAGTGATATGCTAGTGATGTGGCGTGATGTGCTAGTGATGTGCTAGTGATGTGCTAGTGATGTGCTAGTGATGTGCTAGTGATGTGCTAGTGATGTGCTAGTGATGTGCTAGTGATGTGCTAGTGATGTGCTAGTGGCTACCTGTGCTGGGCCAACTGAAAGGCGTCCTCGTACAACTCCTTACACAGCTGGCAGATGTGCTAGTGATGTGCTAGTGATGTGCTAGTGATGTGATGTGCTAGTGATGTGCTAGTGGCTACCTGTGCTGGGCCAACTGAAAGGCGTCCTCGTACAACTCCTTACACAGCTGGCAGATGTGCTAGTGATGTGCTAGTGATGTGCTAGTGATGTGATGTGCTAGTGATGTGCTAGTGGCTACCTGTGCTGGGCCAACTGAAAGGCGTCCTCGTACAACTCCTTACACAGCTGGCAGATGTAGTCCCCGATCTTGTTCTCGATCTTCTCCAGCTCGGCCCGGGCCTCGGGCGTCACCTCCACAAAGTTGTAGCTGGGCTCGATGTCTCCGTACACCACACGACCCTCCTCCTGCAAGGACATGCCTCTGTTAGTCACGTGCTCGACTCGTTGAACGTCACGTGCTCGACTCGTTGAACGTCATGCCGTCAGCGAGTCAGTGTCACATTGAATCAGTCAGTCAAATCATTCGTGTCAGTCAAGTCAGTCAAGTCAGTCAAGTCGGTCAAGTTTAACATTAGGTCCAAAATGTTGAGACATTTCTTGTGTGCGGGGGTAGTCTGTTTACTTGAGGGGACATTATGTTTGAATGGGACGGGATCTGAACCTGTGTGGATAAATATTTTACACGCGACAGAGATTGTGTGTAGCGGAGATTTACGCCACGGTAAAACAAAAAAATAAACATAAAATTTTAATGTCCATTTTCCATCTCCGTGTGTGTGTGTGTGTGTGTGTGTGTGTGTGTGTGTGTGTGTGTGTGTGTGTGTGTGTGTGTGTGTGCGCGTGTTATAACTTGACATGTAAACGGGACAAAAGGCTTTTGTGTGGACGGGACAATATGGTTCGTGTGTGGACGTGACAATGTGATTTGTGTGTGGACGTGACAATGTGATTTGTGTGTGGACGTGACAATGTGATTTGTGTGTGGACGTGACAATGTGGTTTGTGTGTGGACGTGACAATGTGATTTGTGTGTGGACGTGACAATGTGATTTGTGTGTGGACGTGACAATGTGATTTGTGTGTGGACGTGACAATGTGGTTCGTGTGTGGACGTGACAATGTGGTTTATGTGTGGACGTGACAATGTGGTTTGTGTGTGGACGTGACAATGTGGTTTGTGTGTGGACGTGACGATGTGGTTTGTGTGCGGACGATGCATGTGATTTTGTAATTGCCTTTACATGTGTGCAATCACCTAACTTTTGCGCTAATTAAGAAAACCAAGCAACGATTGCACTAATTAATAAAAGCAATCAACGATTGCTTCTACCACTTAGCTAAACTAACCTCTGGGTGGTTTTAATTACCTTTTGTCAAGCTTCATTAGACTTGTGACAATCTATGACTCGGTGTTTGATTTATTGATTCATTGACAAACTTGGCTAGGCCAAGTGATAGATATTTTAGACAGGCTCTAGTGAGTGATAGATATTTTAGACAGACTCTAGTGGGTGATAGATATTTTAGACAGACTCTAGTGGGTGATAGATATTTTAGACAGGCTCTAGTGGGTGATAGATATTTTAGACAGACTCTAGTGGGTGATAGATATTTTAGACAGGCTCTAGTGGGTGATAGATATTTTAGACAGGCTCTAGTGGGTGATAGATATTTTAGACAGGCTCTAGTGGGTGATAGATATTTTAGACAGGCTCTAGTGGGTGATAGATATTTTAGACAGGCTTTAGTGGGTGATAGATATTTTAGACAGGCTCTAGTGGGTGATAGATATTTTAGACAGGCTCTAGTGGGTGATAGATATTTTAGACAGACTCTAGTGGGTGATAGATATTTTAGACAGGCTCTAGTGGGTGATAGATATTTTAGACAGACTCTAGTGGGTGATAGATATTTTAGACAGGCTCTAGTGAGTGATAGATATTTTAGACAGGCTCTAGTGGGTGATAGATATTTTAGACAGGCTCTAGTGGGTGATAGATATTTTAGACAGACTCTAGTGGGTGATAGATATTTTAGACAGGCTCTAGTGGGTGATAGATATTTTAGACAGGCTCTAGTGGGTGATAGATATTTTAGACAGACTCTAGTGGGTGATAGATATTTTAGACAGGCTCTAGTGAGTGATAGATATTTTAGGCAGGCTTTAGTGGGTGATAGATATTTTAGACAGGCTCTAGTGGGTGATAGATATTTTAGACAGGCTCTAGTGGGTGATAGATATTTTAGACTGACATGGCGCGGCTATAAAAATCTGGAACAATCTATCAACCGGTCAGTTAAATTGACCGGATCAGTTCCGTCAGCCGGTCAGTCCGAGACTTACCGGATGAAAGTCCGCCGCCTCCTTGATGATGGTGCCAGACACGGGTGACGTGGTGTCGATGTCAAAGTTCAGCTTGCGGACAGCCTTCAGCCGCCGCCCGCTGCTTGACGCCTGCTGCTTCTTGCCCGGCGCCCCAGTTGTCTTAGACACGAGAGCCGCGGCCTCCTTGGGGTGGGGCGTCCTGAGGGTGGGGATGGAGTTGCCGATGGACTTGAGCGGAGGGGCGCTCCTGGACAGGTCCTGCACGTCCAGACTGTCGTCCTCAGACATGAGCCGCTTCCTGCTGGGGCTGACCAAAGTCTGGTGGGGCTGGGCGAGCTGGGGGTGGTAGGGCGAGGCGGGGTGGGGGTAGGGCGAGGCGGAGTGGGGGTAGGGCGAGGCGGAGTGGGGGTAGGGCGAGGCTGGGTGGGGGTAGGGCGAGGTGGGGTGGGGGTAGGGTGAAGCAGATCTTTGTTCATGCTGCGGTGGTGGGGAGGTGTGCCCGTGGGGGTGGGGGTGGTTGAGTGAGTACAGCTGGGGGCAGTCGGCCGTGTCGGCGTGCACGATGTAGGGGCTGACAGTCCTCGGGCACACCAGAACCGGAAGTGACCTCAGACTGGCCTGGGTCAGGTAGACGCTGTTACACGTGTCCGCACACATGTCCCGTCCCTCGCGCTGCGGGGACACGACCCTGGGGTAGCCGAGTTGAAGGTGGGGGGGCTTCTCAAAGTCACACCCCGGGCTCCGTCTTCTGCTGGGCATGCTCAGGTCGATGGGTGCGTCTAATGGCTCATACATGACGCTGTTGCCACTACCAGTGGTATGGTTGTTGTTGTCCACGCGAAACTGGCGGTTGCTGATGTAGCTGATGGTGCTGGCGTGGTGGTGCATGAGGCTGTTGTTGTTGACTTTGTTCCTGTTGTTGTTGCTCTCGTTGGCCGCCATGTTTTCCTTCTCCCGACCCAGAGAGTTGGGGCTGGCGGCGTACCCGGAGTCAGGCGACCCGTAGGCCACGTACTCCCCCTCCCCGTCCCGCAGGTGTTTCTCCGTGTCGGCGTCCGGCCCGTCCAGCGCCGGATCACGGTAGGAGAAGGCCGGACAGTGCTTGTGACGTTTGACCAGGAAGTGACGTGGCATGATGACACTCTCGCCACTCCGCTTCTTCCCACGTGACCAGGGTAGAGTCGAAATTTTAAAAAGTTGGACACACGACACACAACGAAATAAAAATATATCACTTGTAAAAATCGGGTCGCGTTTTACGCAAATGAAATAAGAATGCGTCTCATAAAAATGAAATTTTACGACAGACAAAATGTCGAACCAAAGGATTGGGCTATTGCACAGATGACGGTATAAAATTGGTTAAAGGCACGAGTTCATTTGGTTGAAAATTGTGGCTCAATAGTTGATTTCAAACAATACGCACATTAAAAAAATGGAAAATATGTAAAATATTGCACTTGTAAAAGAAACGAATGTAAAATTGTAAAGAAGAAGATAGCACTTGGGATCTAAACCAGCCTAGCGAAGTCCGTCGGTGACCGGATATGGCTGGGCGTGGTCATCTAAGGCAGCGGGAATGGCAGCAGCTTGGTGGTCAAGGTATGTACAGGTGCTAGACTAGCTCTGGTTGGTAGCACGGTGCTAAAGCTTTCAATTAGAGAGATAAACTTAATTATTTTAATTAGTGAACTAACTTATTTCAATAAGTGAACTAAATTTGATTTCAATTTGAGTTAACTTAAGTATTTCAATTAGTGACTTAAACGTTTTTCAATTAGTGAGTTAAGTATTTCAATTAGTGAGCTAAATTTATTTCAATTAGTTAATTTAATTTTATTTCAATTAATGAGCTAAACTTAAGAGTTTCCACGACAATTAATTAGCATGAATTCAAGGCACGGGCATGAGAATGTAAGGCACACATACACACAAAAAAAAACTATGTTACAAAATATTGCACGGATTAGGCCTGGTCGGTTAATTATTTACATAGTATATACAGGTGTCAGTGTCACGTGGTCACGGAGTGACGAGTGTCACATGGCAGTCACAACCTGGTGACGTCAGCCAACAGTGTCAGTCCCAAGACGTGATCGTGTCGCCCCGGGGTGGGGTCATGTACATGGTGGTAGTCCAGTAGGAAATAGTTGCAGCTCTCACTGGGGCAGAAAACACAAAGTCCAGCACGACACGCCAGCACTGGCAGCAAGCACACAGATCCGATGAGAGAATTCGAAAGTCCACAGAAATGTTTGGTAGTGGCAGACGCTAGCTCGGTGCCAGACCAATCTTCCCTTTTATAGTGGCGTGGTCTGGCCAAGACTGAAGCACGTGCTTCGCTCACCCGACATTCCTTGGCTCATCAATATGCATGCATTCGCGTGCCCTGTAAGCCCCTCCCACCAGCTCTGGCGTGCCTTCCTGCGACACCTCCCCGTGTGACGGTCGCCGGCGAATTTCTCCGGTCTGCCGGCACGAGCAGCCGGCCCACGTGATACGTCACGTGGTCGACCCTAGCACGCCGGCACAGCCGTGAGCTCAGCTGTCAGACTCAGCCAATATGGAACACCGGCATTCAATCACGTCCTGGTGTGGCAGCGTGGGTCACGGTACACACAGCCACACCGTACACAGCCACACCGTACACAGCCACACCGTACACAGTCACACCGTACACAGCTACACCGTACACAGCCACACCGTACACAGCCACACCGTACACAGCCACACGGTACACACAGCCACACCGTACACAGTCACACCGTACACACAGTCACACCGTACACAGCCACACCGTACACAGTCACACCGTACACAGTCACACCGTACACACAGTCACACCGTACACAGTCACACCGTACACAGTCACACCGTACACAGTCACACCGTACACACAGTCACACCGTACACAGTCACACCGTACACAGTCACACCGTACACAGTCACACCGTACACACAGTCACACCGTACACAGTCACACCGTACACAGTCACACCGTACACACAGTCACACCGTACACAGCCACACAGTCACACCGTACACAGTCACACCGAACACACAGCCACACCGTACACAGTCACACCGTACACACAGTCACACCGTACACAGTCACACCGTACACAGTCACACCGTACACACAGCCACACCGTACACAGCCACACCGTACACAGTCACACCGTACACAGTCACACTGAACACACAGTCACACCGTACACAGTCACACCGTACACAGTCACACCGTACACACAGCCACACCGTACACAGCCACACCGTACACCGTCACACCGTACACCGTACACACAGTCACACCGTACACACAGCCACACCGTACACAGTCACACCGTACACACAGCCACACCGTACACAGTCACACCGTACACAGTCACACCGAACACACAGTCACACCGTACACAGTCACACCGTACACACAGTCACACCGTACACACAGCCACACCGTACACAGTCACACCGTACACAGCCACACCGTACACACAGTCACACCGTACACAGTCACACCGTACACAGTCACACCGTACACACAGCCACACCGTACACAGCCACACCGTACACCGTCACACCGTACACCGTACACACAGTCACACCGTACACAGTCACACCGTACACAGCCACACCGTACACACAGTCACACCGTACACACAGCCACACCGTACACAGTCACACCGTACACACAGCCACACCGTACACAGTCACACCGTACACAGTCACACCGTACACAGTCACACCGTACACACAGTCACACCGTACACAGCCACACCGTACACAGCCACACCGTACACAGCCACACAGTCACACCGTACACAGTCACACCGTACACAGTCACACCGTACACACAGTCACACCGTACACACAGCCACACCGTACACACAGCCACACCGTACACACAGCCACACCGTACACAGTCACACCGTACACACAGCCACACCGTACACAGCCACACCGTACACACAGCCACACCGTACACAGTCACACCGTACACAGTCACATCGTACACAGTCACACCGTACACCGCCACACCGTACACAGTCACACCGTACACACAGCCACACCGTACACAGTCACACCGTACACCGTACACAGTCACACCGTACACCGCCACACCGTACACACAGCCACACCGTACACAGTCACACCGTACACAGTCACACCGTACACCGCCACACCGTACACCGCCACACCGTACACAGACTGTACACAGAAGTAGGCCTAAACTTAAGTACAACCAGTACACACACACACACAGAGAAGTTAGCTGACATACACAAGTACACTGTTACACACAAGACGCACATACATTCACACACACTCACAGAATTGTATGCTCACACGCAGAAATAGTGACACACACCTATATAAACACACAAACACACACACCTACATAAACATACCAACACACACACACACCTATATGAGCATACAAACACACACACACACCTACATAAACATACCAACACACACACCTATATGAACATACAAACACACACACACACCTACATAAACATACCAACACACACACCTATATGAACATACAAACACACGTCCACTGAATACCGTCAGTGCAGAAGCTTGCAATAAATTGTTGATGGTGATGTAATCTCACAGAAATAATTAACTAATTAGTTAAGTGTGCAAATAAGGGTCATCCATGTTTAATGAGACACTGTTGGTTCAACCAACAAATATGTAGGTCACCTAACTCTACTGCGGCCTTGTGTGTGTGTATGGGGGGGGGGGCTGTTTACTTGAGAGGAGATTTCGTTTGAATGTTTGAATGGGGGGGGGGGGGGGGAGGGGGTCTGAATCTGTGTGGATAGATATTTTAGACGCGAGAGAGATTCTGTGTAGCGGGGATGGAAAATGGACATTAAAATTTTATGTTTATTTTTTTGTTCTGTCGTGACGTAAAAATGTGTGTGTGTGTGTGTGTCTGTGTGTGTGTATGTTATTACTTGACATGTGAATGTCAGGTTCATCGACTGATGACACCCCAGGATCGTGGTGGTGGAGATACTCCCCACTCCCCAGTGATGGAGAGATGACATCATGCCACCCTGCACGGATTCGTCTTTAACTAAGCTACATCTGACTTCACCGTATTTCTACTGGATATAGATCAACAGCTCTACAAATTTGTTCTACAAATTATTGTTTTCTACTGTACCCCCCCCCCCCCCCCCTCCAGCCTACGCATTTTACGGGAATAAAACTGGTGTTACTTATATTCAGATCACACTATTACATACAGTATGTAAGCTGTATGTAAAGTTATGTTTTTAAAAGTTCCAAAAAAACTTTTAATCAAACTTTGCTCAATGTTTCTACCGACTGTAATGGCCCGAGTTTCTGCTTTGTTTGTCGTAGTGGCCCGAGTTTCTGCTTTGTTTGTCTGGCTGTCAAGTTCTTTGTGGCGGAGGTCGTTCCAGCCAGTGGCCACATTTCAAATTCTGCACTCGACCAATCAAAATTCCCATAGCCCACAACAAGGCGAATCCCACCAATGGCGTGCCAGCAGTCTTGAGCTGCGCGAGGCAACGTTCTCACGACCGTCAACAGCTGACCAGGGGGGGCGGGGGAGGGGGGAGGCGTGCGTGTGCGTTATCGATCCCCGGCCCGTCTCGCACGCGACCGCTCATTGTCTCCCCCGGGTCGCGTGCCTTGCCTCATTAGCATACAGCTGCTCACCCAAAAATATACCCTGGCTCTAGGACAGTACAGCCCCTCCCCCGTCCCCCTCCCCCCTCCCGTCTCCTAAACCAAAAATAGATTGAATCAGAGCTTCTGCCACTTTTACAACTAAAGAAATATTTCATACATCACACAAACTTCTCTAATACATCATCACACAAACTTCTCTAATACATCATCACACAAACTTCTCTCATACATCACACAAACTTCTCTCATACATCACACAAACTTCTCTCATACATCACACAAACTTCTCTCATACATCACACAAACTTCTCTCTTACATCATCACACAAACTTCTCTCATACATAATCACACAAACTTCTCTCTTACATCACACAAACTTCTCTCATACATCACACAAACTTCTCTCTTACATCATCACACAAACTTCTCTCATACATCATCACACAAACTTCTCTCATACATCACACAAACTTCTCTCATACATCACACAAACTTCTCTCATACATCACACAAACTTCTCTCATACATCACACAAACTTCTCTCATACATCACACAAACTTCTCTCATACATCACACAAACTTCTCTCTTACATCATCACACAAACTTCTCTCATACATCACACAAACTTCTCTCATACATCACACAAACTTCTCTCATACATCACACAAACTTCTCTCATACATCACACAAACTTCTCTCATACATCACACAAACTTCTCTCATACATCACACAAACTTCTCTCATACATCACACAAACTTCTCTCATACATCACACAAACTTCTCTCATACATCACACAAACTTCTCTGTTACATCATCACACAAACTTCTCTCATACATCACACAAACTTCTCTCATACATCACACAAACTTCTCTCATACATCACACAAACTTCTCTCATACATCACACAAACTTCTCTCATACATCACACAAACTTCTCTTATACATCACACAAACTTCTCTCATACATCACACAAACGTCTCTCATACATCACACAAACTTCTCTCTTACATAATCACACAAACTTCTCTCATACATCACACAAACTTCTCTCATACATCACACACACTTCTCTCATACATCATCACACAAACGTCTCTCATACATCACACAAACTTCTCTCATACATCACACAAACGTCTCTCATACATCACACAAACTTCTCTCATACATCACACAAACTTCTCTCATACATCACACAAACGTCTCTCATACATCACACAAACTTCTCTCATACATCAAACAAACTTCTTTCATACATCACACAAACTTCTCTCTTACATCATCACACAAACTTCTCTCATACATCACACAAACTTCTCTCTTACATCATCACACAAACTTCTCTCATACATCACACAAACTTCTCTCATACATCACACAAACTTCTCTCATACATCATCACACAAACGTCTCTCATACATCACACAAACTTCTCTCATACATCACACAAACGTCTCTCATACATCACACAAACTTCTCTCATACATCACACAAACTTCTCTCATACATCACACAAACGTCTCTCATACATCACACGAACTTCTCTCATACATCATCACACAAACTTCTCTCATACATCATCACACAAACTTCTCTCTTACATCATCACACAAACTTCTCTCATACATCACACAAAC